CGGTGCTAAACCACTATACCACCAAGGCAGTCACATTTACGCATTTATATTATTAGATATATATTTAATTTGCTTATCATTGTAATCTTTACATTTCTTAAAACACAATTTTGTTACAATAGATATGCTATTTCATGTATAATTAATAATTATTTCTTGTTATCGCTGTTTCACGTCATGTTATTGTGATTAAATGGTAATTAAGGTACAGGTGGTTAGTGGCTTAGTGGTTGTTGCACTGAACTAGACTAAAAAGGCGTGAGTTTGATTCTCGAAATTCGGACTACAACAGTATATATGTAGGTCTAGTGTTGGGTAGGCGAACCAATGGCACGTGACACAATATTTTGGGCACGTCGTCGATCATAAAGCTGTTTGAAGAAGCTGGCTCATGCTATTTTAACAATATTTTCACCTACCTATGCCTGCGAGTCATTATTTTCAGAGATTAATAACATTAAAAACTCGGTTAGAAACCGTTTGACAGATGAATCCAGTTCAGCATGCATTTTGCTAAAAGTAACATCGTACAAGCCTAACATAAATTATTTGTCATCTAACCTGCAGCAACAGAAGTCACACTAATTTTACAGTAATTTAATTTATGCGTGTAATGAAAACAATCCAAAATGAACCTCTTTTGTTTACTATATTTCATAGAGAGTTTTGATAGTATTTATTATTATTTTTTCCAAATAATCAGAAGGTCAAAATTATTTGATGGCACGTCAATGACCCCATTAAAAATAGCTACAAAAATGTCGAATTTTCATATAAATTTTCATCTCCAATTTTATTTAAGGGTTATTTATCCCTTAAGGGTAAAATTTTTAGAAACTTTGAATGTCTCATTTATTTATATGTAAGCAACAGTTCAAAAACAATTTACAAGCTTCTAGAAATGACGATACTTCCATACAATCTTTCAACTCCTCTTTCAACCCCTTACAACCCTTTTTTCGCTTCAAGAAGTAGCCTATGTCCTTTCTCAGGGTCTATACTATCTGTGTATCAAATTTCATTTATATCGATTCAGTAGTTTTGGCGTGAAAGCGAGACAGAGAGACAGACAGAGTTATTTTCGCATTTATAATATTAGCAAGGATTTTATTTTATATGTATGTTATATATATTATGCGTTATTCATTCCATCATCAACCACCTTCTGTTTTTCTCCTCTACCCAAAGGTTGTCTGGAAGAGATCGCTAGAGAAGCGATAAGACTACTTTTTGTACCTACATACTATGTAATATACATAGTTTTGTTTTGTATATTTTAAAAGGTGCAATAAAAAGTTATACATATAGAAATTATTGTGTTAATTATTCTTAAATAAATTTTTCAAAAGTCATTTACATATAAATTACTAAAATTTCGCACGCCAAAAGCAATGGCGATATAAATGTAATGAAGTTTATTGCTTAAATGTAGTACGGTGACACGTTTTGTATGTGATTCATTTTATTAATACTAACTTATTTTTTACATTCAAACCTAATTCAAAAGCAAATAAATACATTTAATTTCATTATTATCATCAACAATTAGTGTTCTACAAATTTACACGCCAATGAAGTCACGATTTCCAACTAAAAGTACATAATATACATAAAAAGAACACCCAGACAAAACATACTCCTGAATATAACAATATATTACGATATAAGTGCGTTATGATGGTTATAACACACGAGGCGTAATAGACCCGAGTGCGTTAAATAAGCACGTATATCGTACAACGTTATTCAACACACTTCATTTTAAATAAACTCAACATAAAACTGATGCATACTGCTTTCCCGCCTTTTTACTTTTTTAAAGCGCGCTACTGTCAGTGCTGCGCGGCGTCAGTTCGAAATTTGAAAAAAAAAGAAAAATAGTGCTGTTATGGAATATAACTTCACTATTTGCGTTTATAACGCATGCTTATTTTATGACATGCTTTATATATCGAAAACCGGTGAAATTATATCCAATTTACGAGCAAGTGTGTTGAAAATATATATAATTTTATAATATATCAAACACAAGTTTTATACAAACTTATTCTAAATTTTGTACAATTTGGCAATAATATAATTAGTAAATCTCACTTTAATAGACATTAATTTAGACAATTACGACATTTTTATAATTAGTACCAGTTCTACAAGATTCTTTTTAGCTGTTCATACAAGTTATTTGGTTTACTTTACCGTACAAGATTTATTAAAAAAGAAAAACAATATTTTTAGGTAACTGGAATATCGTATTAGTTATATAAAATAATGTGATGATAAAAATGTGATAACTTTAAATGGCATATACAGCTTTTGGATGTATGAAATATTTACGACAGCCTGAGCCGAAATTCGAAAAGATCGAAGTTTCTTTCTGTTCTTCTTTTGTTCTATTTTCATAGACACTGGTGCCAAGACCGTTAGTGCAGGCGGGGATTTTTTCTCCGAACTAGTCTAATGCCGCAGCTGGCCTTTACAATTTCACCAGACGATAGGGGGCGAGTGCAGATGGCACTCCAAACCAAAGGATAGACTTATGGTGCGGCTGAAGGACAACTCCCGCCTGACGGATACGATTTCATTCTGAGGATACTGCTAGGGATTCGAACCTCGGCTCAAGCCGTCGTAATTTCGATCCCCGTTTATATCGAACTCGACATTTTTTTATATATATAAAAGTAAGTATATAAATATAAAAGTAAGTATATAAATATAAAATTATATATATAAGGATAAAACTTTAAATAAAATAAAAAACTGAAACTAACAATCTCCCAGTATTTTCTTCATACTCGGAGCCGTAAAATTAAAAAAAAAAGCAAGATAAAAATTAAGGAAACAAAACTTGTCTTGACCAGTGCAATCTATGGATCTAAATATATTTAAAAGTGAAATATATTCATATTGAATCAATCATGATGATTATATGATTAATTTCATAGATAATTAACACTTGACATTGTAAATTATCATATATGAGTAAACATATTATAATTTTTAAATTAATCTGCATTTAGCTGACGCGCGTAACTCCGGGCCTCCGTTTCAAATTAAAAATAAAACAGAATATCTTTGTTTACCTCTCATAATCCATGTTTGTTCACTTAAATCTTAAATTACATAGCGGATTTTAATGCAGTTTATAGCCATAGATAAGTGGAATGAAAGGATTCAAGAGGGAGGTGTATATGGGTATTACATGTACACCCGTGCGAAGCCTGGGCGGATAGCTAGTATATTATAATTGTAATAAGTTTGTAATATTCAAATTATAATGTTTTTGATTATGGTTTGATAAACAAATAGATAAAAATTTGTCTTTATTTTTCAATTTTTACATTATTATAATTCAACTATCCTGCAAAACTCCTGTCGGGGTTTCTCTGCAGGCACATACTTCTCATGTATATAGAATGTTTTTGGAATTAGGAAGGTTTTGTTTGTGGACAAGGAAATCACAGTTTATAGTTAACTAGCTACACACCCCTGCTTCGCACGGGTGTACATGTATTACATATGTAATCCTTCGTCTAGAATCACTCTATCTATTAAAAAAAACCGCTTCAAAATCCGTTGCGTAGTTTTAAAGATTTATACATACATAGGGACAGCCAACGACTTTGTTTGATACTATGTAATGATTATATTTAACGTTTTTCCTTTCTCTCCTCGTAGTTTTTTTTAAACAATGCGCTTATGTGATGTATTATTATTTATTTGACTAAAATGTTAATATTTATATTAAAAATATAAGTTTATATACATATAATAGCCTACTGTGATGGATTATTTTGTTTGGTTTATATGTTCAACATATACAGGGTGGCCCAGATGTCACTTTACATTTTGAAAATTAAATAACTTTTTTTCTATTAATATATTCCTTTTTCTCTTTTCAGAATTAAAAAATATAATACCTGGAAATTTTTATCATGGATAAGTTTACAACAGAACAACGAGTGAAGATAATTTAATTTTACTTTGAAAATGGATGGTCAATTGTTGCAACGCAAAGTTCGTATATGCGCCATTTTAATGTTCGACATCCCCCTAGTAGGCCTGCAATAAGGAACTTAGTGAAGCGTTTTCAACAAATGCTGTTGAAATCTTCACTCGTTGTTCTGTCGTAAACTTATCCATGACAAAAATTACCAAGGATTATATTTTTAATTCTGAAAAGAGAAAAAGAAATATATGAATAGAAAAAAAGTTATTTAGTTTTCAAAATGTAAAGTGACTTCTGGGCCACCCTGTATATATATATGTATATAAGTAGCTTTAATATATTAATTAATATATAACTTGTAATACTTGTAGGAGTTTAAATTAATTATAATAAAATATATATATAGACGGAAGGACGCCGAATTGTGGTAACTTAAAGAGCACCAACTTTACAAAAATTCTTTTAAATTTTATTTCAAATATATTTATCGAGATAGAAAGTTGAAAATGTGTTAAATAAATACTGTATTTAACCAATTTACAACTTTCCATGTTGATAAATATATGAGGCATGAATTTTTGAAACAGTTTTTTTTATTTGTTGTAACATTGGGTATTTCAAGATACAAATATATGAGGCATGTATTTTTGAAACAAATGTTTTGAGCTGGTGTAACATTGAGTTTTACAAGTTACAAATATATTAGGTATGAATTTTTGAAACTGTTTTTTTAATCTGTTGGTGATAAAAATATCGGTTTTTCAAGTTACAGCAATTCTGCTTTCCTCCATTTATATATATATGTATATATAAAACAAATTCCTTTCTCTCTGCATACAGACAGCCGTTTTAAATTAACTATATACATGTATAATACAGAACATAGTTTGTATCAACAATATATTAATATATTTACATTATATAGATTATTTATAATAATTACGATGAAGAAAATGCATATAAGATAGCAACCTGGGTTTGTTTACAATTGTTGTTTGTATTAGCATATCACATGACTCGATTTTTTTAATACAAAATTTATTGATTAAAAAAAAATTGCAGCCATGTCATAGGCTAATAATGAAGCTTTCTAAACGTGAAATAATCATTCAAATCGGTCGAATTTATTTCATCGCAAATGAAAAATATCGCACACCTTCTCAAGAAATACAAACATTGCAAAATGCACTTTAAAGTTTTAAATCCAAAGTCGAATTTTAAAAAATAAGTTTTTGCAATAGATGTGGCATTTTTTTTTTTTTTACAATTTTAATTTAGAAAAAAAAATCAATGTTTACCATTCACCCCGTTTGTGGCGGCCTCCTCGTAACTCTTCAAATGGAATGGAGAAATTGTGAACACCTCATTCTTCACCAGTTCTTCAATGTTCTCGCCACCATACGACAACAATGGAGAAATCTCAATATCAACGTCATCAGTTATTTCTCCACCTGCTTGCCGTATATACTTTCTATGTAGACGAAGCAAGTCCTCCCTAGCTGTGGACGGACAGTCCTTCTTCGCCGAATCCGCATTCTTCAACGCTGAGAATTCAACGTCCCTCGCGACTTCTAGGCATATGAAGTTCTCCGCGAATTCAAACACGTCGAATATAAACTTCTCTATTTTAATTCCATTAGATTCAGCTGGCTTCTGGCATACACCGTTGGCGTCTACGTAGGGAATCTTCTTTTTGGCAACATGGAGTTTTAATTTAGATTCATAGTTGCAGATTTTCGCAAGGAACTCTGATGAGAAGTAGTGGTTGCATATGTTACCGGCTGAGAATGTCAGTCGGCCATCTGGTTCTCTACTTTCCGCTGCTTCATCAGTCAGCTCAGAGTATTCCACCACTTTGTAATGTCCGTTCACACGGCACACAACTCCGACAGCTTCACTCGGAGATGACTTGCTTACCACCTTCGCAGCGCAATCAGCATTCTTACTACTACAATAACCTATGAACACAGGATCAGCGACTTTAATTAGAATATTATCTACGGAATGTGCATGCAAATGTTTGATACCTCGTCCTGCGATATCTTCGAGTACTCCTTCAGCCTTTAATGCTCTGTATAGGCCTCCATTGCCGTCTGGAGCGGAGTTAATATGGTACTTCTTAGCCAGAATAACTTTTCCATTAAAATCATAACATGGGAATGTACCTTGTTTGAAGAATACAATATCATCCTTATTGAGTCCGAAATAAGAGTGGCTTTTGAAGAATTCTGCTGTTGGGCCCATTGTGTGTTCAGATGTCATTATATACCATGTAATTTTACCTTCTTTGCCGTATTTTTCAGTAGCCATGTTTTGGATGCGGCGAATTCGTTCACCTTGAATTTGGAACAGTGTCTTCCTAGATGGTAAACCAACATCATACATGCCTTTCGGATGTCCAAAACCTAATCTAGTTGCTTGACCTCCCGCCAGCAATAAAACGCCGACTCTACCTTCGCTAATTTCTTTTAGGCCAGTATTTTCATATTCTTCAATTTTTTCAACATTCAAATTTGGAACGGACTCATAATGAGTCTGTGGTATTGGTTTCAAATCGTTATCCAACTTATCGAATATCACCTTCGATGTTTCGTTAGCCCGCCTAAATATTTCGTTCACTTCTCCGAAATCCAAATTCAAAATTTCACTAGATAACTGTTCCCGCTCGTTTTCACTTAGTTCCGGCCAGTATTTTATAAGTTGCTCTTGACCGTGAGCAGATAGTATCGACAACAGATTCTCGTACGACATTATTAATGTTTATACAGCTATATTTGATATTAAGTCCGTATTCCACGATTAGAAAGCGTATACTGGTTCATGGTTCGCGCGCTACAGTAAAGATTTCACTGTTCTCCCACCACATCACGAATAAACAACAAAATACACGTCGGCCTAAAGTTGACATTCTTTAGGAATAATTTAATGTATTTACATTATAATTTATGCATTCCATTACATAATTGACTTTTCCATTTATTTGCTAACACATTACAGTTTCGAATAGTAGTTGGATAATTAGTTTATTGCTTATTATGTTGATGAAAAGAACACCTATAAGAAATTTTATAAAAATTTCCAACAAAAATATTGTAAATAAATGAGAATTGATTGACAAGTGACACTGACAACTCAGAAACAAGTTGAATGTCAGCTGTCAATAAATGACAGTTACTGAAGAACGTTGACATTCCTGCACAAGTTGTTTTCTATCTCACTCTCGCTGACTGTTGTAGCAATATGTAATATTATGTTATCTGTGATAATATGAAATATATTTTTTATGGTAGCTTCTAAGTAAACAATAATCATGTTTTGGCATTAAAAAAATTTTTTTTCTTTTAAAATATACTGAGTTTTTTTATCTGTGGTTGACAAAGACACCAAGATTGATCCAAGTATGATGTCATAATTTAATAAACAAAACGTCGGGACTCTGCCTCAAATCCCTTACTTTTAATTTTATAGTTTGCTGAAAAAAAGTGGACAATAATCTCTCAAATATGTATTGCAATTTGTGCTGTCTAAAGAGTTTCACGAAATGTAATTAGGCGATATTAAAGCGGATAGTTCAAATTTACCCAGAATTGAATCTTTTATGATCGCAAATTTCTTTGTGTAAAATGGTAAGGTAATGGTAAGAATATTGTGCCTGTAGAATACAATTCTGGATATGTTAATAAATTGAAAGCCTTTTGAAACAAAAATTTGTATTCATTATTATATAATAGTACCAAATAAAATAATGTAATTTTAGAAAATCATGTATTTTTAATTATACTATCGTGTAGATTAATCAGTATACAGGCAATAATAACACATTCATCAAAATATAGTAACAATTTATTATTAACTATGGAATGAGGTTTTAATATAGAAAATTCTCTTCTAATTCATTCGATGTGATCCCTAAAACTTGCTAATTGTTTTGTTTCAATTACATCATCTTTTGATAGAAATATAAATAATCTAAAATTATTCAAATTCAATACAAGCACTTTTGATAGTCATATTTTTTATTCTACCACTCATTCGGAACGCAGATACAGCACAATAAGAATGAGCAAGAAACTTATGTATTGCTCTTTTGAATAGTTTTTTATGGATACATTACACAATAAGAAGTAAGAGGCATGCGACAATCGACATAGAAACCACTCATTCTTACTGCATTCAGATAATATCAGCGCTATGAATTTCAAGTTTTCCTACAAAAACATCATTAAAGAAATCTTCAATTTTAAAGTACAATTTTTACAAAGGAAATGTTTTGATAATTTAGAAATAGAAGAAACACTTTGAGGTCTTATTAAATTAATTCATTTATCATTAATCCAGCTCTTCATATGATTATGATTTGATGGTTTTTGAATGTCTATTCAAGACAGTCAATAATACAATAGCAATTATGGTATTTAACTCTAAATGCCATGGGTAAGGTTCTTTCCACTGATCTTTTATTTAATTTAATTATAAATGGATGTAATGCATTTGCAATAAGGAAGCTTTGTATGTTCTTTTATAATATCGATTAAATAATAACAATCCTTGGAAATACCTATGTAATACATTGGATTGTTATTGATTAATTGTGTTGCATTTTCAATAGGCATTTCCTGTAAATTTTCTACTTCAACTTCCGTTTTTATTTCCGATAATTCAGCTTGAATTTCTTGGTTACTGCTAGTTGATGACAATGTTGGTAGGGACTGAACAGATAATGATGTGTCAGTTGTTAACTGTGAATGTTTTGATGGTTCATTTGACGATGACACTGATAATTTTTCACTAAATAGTATTTTCCTCCCCTCTGATTCGACTCGAGACTCTATTTTAATAGGTGATGTTGCCGTAGTCACAATATGAGTTGTTAAAGGAGAACTATTTTTATCTTTAGCTTGACTAGTAGTTTGTACAGATTTGCTTCTAACCTTTGCAGACAAGCATACTTGAGTTAATTTATCAGTTCTTTCAGGGTATACTTGTATCATCTGATCTTGAAAATTATGTTTCTCATCCGGGCTGAATGAGGTATTAGATACGGAATCTAAAAAAAAACAGAATTAAAAAGTATTATTTACAACATGCAAGCAAGTGACTCTCTGGTATCCTAGAGACGAGACCAGAAGACAGGGTCACTAATGAACACACTGGAAAGATGACATCAACCTGACTCTGGGACCGCTCTGGAACAGGGTTGCAGAAGCCAGAGTCCAGTGGAGAGAGCTGGAGGAGGTCTATGTCAAAAGGCTCACTGAGTTGTTAGACATTTTGTAAAAATCAAAATGTATCCGAACTTTCGGAAAAAGGGTAATTATTATTATTTACAACATAGGTATGTATGTAAATGTGCATGACAAAGGTACTATACCTCTCTAGAAAGTAGGTTCTAAATACAAAACTTTGAAAGTAAACCTATTTTTAAATAATTGGACTAACTTACTAATTGATAACTTTACTCACCGCTTTTGCAAGTCTTGCCTGATGTTGATGGCATTTCCTGAGAAAATATTTCTTGTAATATGTGCATACGTAGTCTTTTGCTTACAACTGATCGAGGCTGTGGAGGCCCTGTTCGTTTTATTCTGTCCGGTTGACAATGAAATTTCAATGGTAAACAGTCGGGTTTCATTTTTATTTTACCAATAGAACCCATTATACTGTATTGGATATAATTTTCCATATCATAAGGTAGCTATAAAGAAAAACAAAGTGTCATTAGGTAGAAGTTAGGTTTGTTTATTCTAGTCTAAGAAGTTAGGTTAGGTTTAATACATATTCGGAAAATCAAACATATTGATTTATTCTAAATGCTTACATCAAAGTGATCCTCACAAAAGAATATCGCAGACTTATCAGACGTAAACTGTGGGTCTCGGCGTGCCAATTGTAACCATTGCTTTCGACGTTTTGGGCATTTAGGAACGTGTATAAACAATTTGTTGGGACATTTAATTGTCGTACTACGACACATAGGCACCGCACACGTTTTGTAGCTTGTCATTTTAACAATTCCAATTAAATCTGTATAATTATCACTCAAAACAGTTGAAGCGCCGTATTATCCTTGTTTTGTTTATCGAAATATGATGTCATAGCTCGTCGGAAATGTCACGTGACATAGTGTTTTAGCGCGAATTAAAAAAAAAAGCAAAAAATCATGTATCGCTATCAAATACTACTTTTAAAAAAAAATATTGTTGGGGTTTAAAATAAGTCTATAAAAAGGATAATATATTTTGGAAAATTGACAAATTTTAAATTTCTTGGTGTTATATTGGTGACTCGAAATGGAAACTTTTATTTATGATCCGTGATGTCACAACCGTGAAATTATGTTTTAAGAAACAAATTAAAAAAAAATAAAATGTCAAATGGTTGCCTAGTGCAACTGTGTTATGTATTGCTTATTTGTGTGGATTATTTACTGAATATTATATTTACATTATATAATTACTTGTTAATAATTCCGAAACTGTTGTTAAAACATTTTGTTAATGTAAATATGACAGAGTCAGCCAAGAAACGGAAGAGAAACACGGATAACCAGACTGTATCAACAAGAGGTGCAATCAATGTTAATTGGCAGAAATTGCTGTCTAGCAAACTAATTATGGACAACAATACGGAAAAACCAGTGGAGACAGACAAAAACCACTACACTGGCACATTCAGGCGGACTAGAAAGAAACAGACAAGACAAATAAACAATACGGTAGAAAATAACCTCAAAAGTTTAAACTTAAGCGGAACGTATAGTAAAGGGAATGGTAGTGATCATAAAACGAACATTCTAGAACATAATACAGTGAATAATAAGATAGCACAAAATGATAACGAATTTAGAAAAAAGAAAAATAATTTAACTAAATTTTTAGCTATGGATTGTGAAATGGTAGGGATTGGGCATGGCGGGAATGACAATATGCTGGCCAGAGTGTCTCTAGTAAACAAGTTTGGTGATTGCATCTACGATAAATATGTTAAAGCTCGCGAGGAAGTAACGGATTATCGTACGGACATCAGTGGAGTCCGACGGGAGGATTTACTCAATGGCGAAGACTTTACGGTGGTACAGAAGGAGATCTCAGAACTGATCAGAGGACGGATCCTGGTTGGTCATTCGCTGAAGAATGATCTGGCTGTTCTCTTTTTATCGCATCCGAAACGGAGTATTAGAGATACGTCACGATATAAACCTTTCAGGAAGGTGAGTTTGTAGTCATGTGAGACACCAATAATTTTAGAGTAACATTTACTGCAGTCTACAACAGTGATTCCCAAAGTGGTCTATATCGACCCCCAGTGGTCTATGACAAACTGCAAGGGTCTACAACAGTGGTCATCTTGTTGATTATAATTTACTTGCTACTCGCCCCGGCTTTGCACGGGTGTACATGTATTATATATATTAACCTTCCTCTTCTGTATAAATCACTCTATCTATTAAAAAACGTGCTTCTAAATCTGTTGCATTGTTTTAAAGGTTTAAGCATACATAGGGACGGACAGATAGCGACAGCGACTTTGTTTTTATACTATGTATTGATGTTTTTAAAATGTTACAATATTTAGAAATTTACAAAAAATCAATACCAGATAAGGATGTGGGTCTACCTAAAACCGAAAAGTATGGCAGGAGGTCTAAGACACAAGAAAGTTTGGGAACCTCTGGTCTACAATCTGTTGATTGTGTATTTAATGTTATGACTCTAATGAATTAGTACTAATTAATAGCTAGTTATTGGTTTGTATCTACACATTTCAACTTAAAAACGTAAAGTTACAATAATTATTTAAAATAGCAACATGCAAGTGTCTAGCTTGTATGGCCTGCACTATTCAAGACTTTATATAAATTTATTTCCAATACTGTCAAGAAATTGTAATTTTTTTTAAGTTTTAAGATTTTGGAATTTATGTTGGGCTAAAAAGGACTTGTATCCAGAGCCGTAAATATTAAATAAAAAATAAAAAAAATATCTCGTTTGGATGAGACCGATTTCCAAATATGTGGTAGATTAAATAAAATACTTATTTTTCAGAATTGTTTAAATTTACCTTTATTTGAATAAAGAATTTTCGTATTCGTTAATTCGCAGCATTCCACACAGCGCCATCTAGTCCCATACTATAATAGAGCTTGTGTTATGGATACTAGATAACTGATATAAATACATTTTTTTTTAAATACATACCTAATATACATAGAAAACACTCATAACTTACTTCATACAAACCATACAAATAATCATACTCATAAATACATATATTTGTACAGTGCAAGGAATCAAATTGGCGACCATTTAATGTAAGGCGATGTGCTAAACCTCTATACTACAGAGGCTGTTACAATGAATCTATAAATTACACATCACTAATTCATATTTCATACACATATAAATTATAAAATAACACTTTCCTGACTTTTCTTTTGTAGTATACTAGCTACTCGCTCTGGTTTCGCCCAGGTGAACATATATTATACATATAAACCTTTCTCCGGAATCACTCTATCTATTAAAAGAAACCACTTCAAAATCCGTTGCATAGTTTCAAAGATTTAAGCATACATTGGGACGGACAGACAGCGACAGCGACTTTGTTTTATACTATGTAATAATTTCATAGTGTATTTACAAAAAAATTACAATTTCACCAGTCATACTATACTTAGAAAACACCCAAATATACTCATGACTGTAAATGCTATGAATAAAAGACTTATTAATTTTATCTAAATGCTATTTCTCTCTAAATTGCAGATAACAAAAGGCAGTACACCATCTCTGAAACGACTGGCTAAGGAGATCCTCGGTATAGAGATACAGCATGGTGAGCACAGCTCGGTCGAGGATGCCCGAGCCACCATGCAGCTGTACTGCACTGTTGCCAAGAAATGGGAAGCCACGATGAGCGAAAAACGAGGATACGACAGGAGAATTCTTGAAGAATGACGTTGGGAATGTTGGGGACGTAAGAAATTGGGGATATTCAAAGTTGGGGACATACAAAGTTGGGGATGTACAAAGTTAGGGATGTACAAAGTTGGGGATGTACAAAGTTGGGGATGTACAAAGTTGGGGATGTACAAAGTTGGGGACGTACAAAGTTGGGGACGAACGAAATTGGGGACTGCATAAATAAATTAATGATTTGTTTGAACATTACATAGTAAATTAGTAACAATATATTTTCTTCTTAGTTTATTTTTTTTTACTTTTAGTATATACTAGCTAAAATAATATTAGAAAGAAACAAACAAAGAAATTAAAGAAAGAAATATTACGGTTTATATCCCGTTTATGTAAAAGGAGCTATTTCCCGTAATATTATTTAAGAGTTTCCGATATTTCGACTCTGTTGACAGACGTTGACTATTAAATAATATTACATTTCTTCCAAAAATCCAAATATATAGGTATTTATATCAGTTGTCTAGTACCCATAACACAAACTCTGCTTAGCTTGGTACTAGATGGCGCTGTGTGAATTGTCCCGGTTTATTATTATGCAAAATGTATATTGGATCAGCTTAACCGTAACTACGTTAAAATATAGTTGCAAGAAACGAAACATTGAATAAATACTAATAAAATTACTTTCTTTTACTTTTATGTCGTCGCTGGTGTTCCGTATGAAAATTATCATTTTGTATTCTAACGATGTTAAATAAAATATTTTTGCAATTTTTTATTATTATTTTCATTCACCTTGTATAAACTACACGCCTAAGTCAGGTCATATTGTCAGAAATAAATGCGCAGGTCATTGTAGTGTATGTGGAAACACTAGCAGTTTATTATCTATCGTCTCGAGCCGAGCGTACACGGACCGCCGTGCGCAAGAGGGAAGGGATTCCCTGCGCAAGCGCCGCGGAGTAAAGACGTGGAGCTATGGCTAACGAGCCGATATTACGTCGATAATAACTTACATACAAGAAGACATAAATAACAAATAAGTGAACACTATAGTCATACTGTCAGAAGCAAATAAGCATACCCATTGTATGCTTATTTGCTATGTTACCAGGGGCTGTATAAATATTCAGGTTTATTTTTATTTATTTATATTTGCATATAAAGTTGACATATATATATGACATACTGCACCGACCCCAAATAATGGGATAAAGGCAAGGCAATGATGATATTTGCATATAAAGCATAGAATTAACGCGGGATGGATGAAGTGGCGGCAGGTTACGGCAACGTGTGACTCGCGAGTTCCCCTTAAGCTTAAGGGGAAAATTTACAAGACCATGATAGAGGAAGTATGAAAGTGGCACCGGTGTCAGAGAGGTTGAAGAGTAATCGTCTATCAGGGTATGGACATGTAATGCGTAGGATCGAGGATAATATTTTAAGAAAGGTGTTACATATGTTAGTATAACAATAATTTTATATAATACTAGCTGTCCCGGCAAACGTTGTTTTGCCTTAAAATAAAAAAAAAATTAGGGGTGGACTACCCCTAACATTTAGGGGGATGAAAATTAGATGTTGGCCGATTCTCAAACCTACTCAATACGCTCACAAAATTTCATGAGAATCGATCAAGCCGTTTCGGAGGAGTATGGGAACGAAAACTGTGACACGAGAATTTTATATCTATATAAGAAAAAGCAAAGGCATGCATGATTACGATTTACAGTTACAATAAATATTTAGTTCTTTGAAGTAATATGGACACTTTTAGGAACAGAAATATGTTAAATTACATACAAAATTCTTAGCCAATATTCACTAATTAGGTTTCCTGTATATAAAAATATTACAATGAAAAAACTTAAGACAATACAATTTGTGAACGAATATTGAATGGTTATGAGTTGTAGTGAGTGTAATTTGATTTGATGTGTTATTATATAGATCTGTAAGACAACGGCTACTAATTAAATTAATTACTTGAGTTATTAAGTAATTATATCATTTGCATAACTTAATTATACAACTACAACCTAAAATTAAAAAGCTTAAAAAATATAATATGATGACTAAAATATATTATTAAAAGGGGTCCCTTTAGGCAACGTTCCGAAGATACTGGCAGCGTTCTCTCTTTGAATAGCTAGACTAATTCTTTGTCCGAGGTAGCTGCCAGCTCTTCGGACTTCTGTGATGTCGACTAACCTTTCCGTTATTTCTTTGAAAAGTCTTATAGCGCTAGGATCTGTAAGTATATGTATCTGTATGAATGTATAGGTTGAATGCTAGGGATGTGATTTTTTTTTATATATTCAAATGTATTTTAAACCTTTACGAGATTTTCAGTGTCGTCGTAATCTAGTTTCTGAAGTCATTGAAACAACAATATTTTAGATTCGCAGAGTGTACATATGTGGATAAATGAAAGGTACCTTATTAATTTTGTTATATAACACTGAACTATGATATTGATATTTCCGTCTCACTATTGATTAGATGATTTGGTCGGACAAACTATACTAGGTCTACGTTTATTATGATGAAAGTTAGGGTTAAACGCTATATGGTCTGCTCTTATCACTACGACTGATTTAATCTTATTGCATATTTATATTTGACCCAAAAAATTAGTGCTTGTTGGTAGTTTGTATTCACACGTTTCGACTTGTAAATGTAAACTTACAAGGATTATTTAAAAGAGCAACACACACGTTTCTTGCTCGTTCTTCTTGTGATGAGACAGCTTTCCGAACGAGTGGTAGATAAAGAACAAATTGTTATGACTATTCAAAAGTGCTTAAATTAAGTTTATTTGAATAAATGATTTTATTCTATTCTATTCTATATCTGAATGTCTACACAGTACGCTCCTGTATATATATGTGTGTCTTACGGTCTGTACATTACAAAAGTAATACAATTCTTTAGTGGGATAGTAATATAGTAGATTAATTACTGTAAACATGTCCAACATTTATTACTATTAGAATTTTGTCATTTGTGAAATAAAAAAAAATTGGGATGTTTCTTATTGCTTACACACGTTGGGGGCCCTCGTGGTCCGGGGGCCCCGTATGCTACGCCCCTGATGTAACCTCAATGGTTCCTAATATTTTGACGTTGATCGTCGCTCTACTTCTTGTATTACAATTTTACCAATGTTTGGAGTTAGGACATGCGTCAGTCCTTAGCGACGCGAAGGCCCACCCTTTCCTTCCCTAACCTACATCTTTGGGTTTAGGTTGTAGATGAGCAGTCATCAGTATCCGGACGGCAGAAACTCGCAGTTTCGTTCAATAGATACAAACTACACATGTTAATAAGATGAGGGTGATGTTTACTATTGCAGTATTACGAGAGATGATTTAAAGGTAAGGGTTGACTCATTTTTTAAAACTATATTTTGTAGGAAGTATTCGGAAATCTGCAGACAGTTAGTTCCAGAGACCTGAAGCTTGTTGTTGCGGGTGAATAATACGATGTTGCTGGTCGAGACGATGTATATTACAGATGATGATAAACTGACAATGTGTACACAGAAACAATGATCTTATATACTAAATAACAATAGGAAAATGTAAGGTGGGGTGACACAGTTTAGATACACCAGTGCCTAGTAGACAATATTGAATTTGTCTTACTAGACATTATTAAATGCAATTATTATTTTATGTATCTAGGTGACTGGTTATAGTGGTAGGTGGTTGTAAAATAAAAGAGTTGGACATGAAACTACTTTTATGGGGAGGCGTTGTTAGGATGCGGGAATTTTTAAAGCGCAGGTTACGGTCATGTGATCCCTTTTATTTTACATGTAATACATATGCTCTTATGGTAAAGATGGTATTGTTCGTAAGGGCCCCCAAACAAATTTTTATACGGGGCTCCACCAACGATGCTACGCTTCTGAGGTCCATGCTACAGTAAGGTTAACAATAACAGATATTTAAAAAAAACTATTTGATTAGTTAAATATTATTTATTATTGAGCATTATGACCAGTCAGACATGCTTCAGTCGGCAATGCTTCTATTTATCCCAACTGGGATCTCATTTCGGATAAACTCTAAGACAAAGCTCCATGGCAGTTCTAGCGTCTTCCACTGAATCGTGGACGCCCTGCTGTATATTCTTGCCCAAGTAGTGTTTTGCCAAAAATTTCAATGATGGAGTTGGATGTGAACTCTGCAAGAAAGGAAGAAGGCGATTCTTAGTAATGTGGATTAATAACTCCATCGGTAGCCATGGACCATGTCAGGTTGACCGCGCGTTCCTACTGGCAGTGGAGGTCTCAGGGGATGGCGATTAGGCCAATCGCCTGCGGCCTCGCGTAACAACCAAAGTAAAGTTTTAACAACCACTGAGTGGCATTTTGCTTAGTGGCAAGTTGCAAAAACTTCCCGATTTCCGACGACATTTAATTGCAAACGAACAATATTACCAACACTAAAGTATATAAATAAAAAAAAACTATTCAACAAAACATGTACCTACAATATCTAATACAATATCTCATAATTTTCTTGAATCAGAGGAAAATTTCCCCATAATCGGAGTTAAATTCATATTAAATTCTTGGTGATATTCCCACGATGTGCTAACTGGCCTAGTTTATAATAAATAAACCTTTGCATTTCCTTGCGAATGGAACATAAATATTTACTGCATAATCTCGATTGAAAGTATTGCTATCTCACTTACGTGAGGGGAGACATAGAGGTCTCAGAATAGAGATAGAGCGAATACTGAAGCAATAATTTTGTTAAAGATATTCTATGTAATATATATATACAGTGTGATCTATGATTAGTAAAAAGTAAAAACTCTCTGTATTGAATATAATTAATATAATAAATAAAGTGGTTAGCAAATTTTCGACTATTATTAAATATTCTAACAAATTTAGTACCGTTGACACTCCCCATAAATAAAAAAGGTAAACAAAATGACCCGCTACAGTTACTTACATAAGGTTTAATCTTGTATGTATCAATGATTTTGTCAACTGGATGAGTTAGACCTAGAGCCTCCAAATCTGCTCTTAAGTCGTGTCCCACAAGTATATGACCATTAATGAGTTTTGCTACCTCTCTTTGAACTACGATAAAGGGTATACCTTCACTGCGTAGAATGGCAGCATTAATACCTGAAAAGGAATTCTTGTAAAAAACAAAATATGGATACGTCTTACGCATATCAAAATGAAGATATTTTTATTTACCGACAGCCTCGGTGGGCTAGTGGTCTAATGTCATTCTTTTCCACAGATCTTCTCTATCAGTTGTCATATTTGAGCATACTCTAAACTCTAGTAAAAACAACATATGCGTCATGACTAGAGCCCTCACAGGACACTGCAAATTGAACAAACATATGGCAAACCTAGGTCTATGCACAACAAAAATCTGCAGATTTTGCCAAACTGAAGAGGAAACGCCACTACACATCCTATTTGGTTGTAGCCCACTCATACATAAACGTAATATTTCCTTTGGAATGTTTAGACCATCGCTCCTAAGATATGGCCTGAGCCGAATTTCGAACCCCTAGCGGCGCCCTCAGACTAAAGTCGTTTCCGTCAGGCGGAAGGACTTACTTTGGTTTGGAGTGCCATATGCACTCGCCCCCTATTATCCGTTGAAGCTGTAAAGGCTAACAGCATTAGAGTAGTTCGAAAAAACTTGAATAAGGGCGAGCAATAGATCTATGTAGGTCGGAGTGTTACAGGTCCCAGCACCTGACTAGAGCACAAATAACCTAATAAAATAAAATAAAAAATACCTGTTATGCACTCCAGGTAATTTTTTACGTCATTTTGTTGCACGTATTCGTTGTATATGACATCACCTGAATCGTTGACGATGGAAACTCTGGCTAGCAACTTCTTAGAATAGCCTTCGACCATTTCGCAGTCTATTGCAACCTTCTTCATACTTGCGAATAGCGAGTGATTTGGATGTTATAACACGAATTAAAAGTACGACTATTTTCAAGTTATAGCAAGGAACCTCTTTTATATGCATTGAAAACATTGAACACTACGTAATCAGATAAAATACGACATATATTATCAATTATCTGGAGTACAATCAATAGCACTACTACCTAATTCTTATCAATTACAACTACATAGAGGCAACATTGAAACAGATGCGTGTGGTTTTCCCCGCTAAAACAGTTTTGCCACCATTACGCATAAATTTTCTTGATGTACTTGTTTTTCTTTATTTTATAATATATAGTTTTTCATCATTTCTGCAAAGTCTTTCCCAAAAACTTCCATCATGCGATCTTCCGTCTTCCGCATCCATCCACTGCCGGGCACCTTCGTGATGTCGTTGGTTCATCTTGCAGGGCGCTCGGCACTCCGTCGATCTATACGCGGCCTCCACTCCATAACCTTTCTTCCTCATCTATCATTGCTGACTCTGTTATGCCCGGCCCACTGCCACTTCAGCTGACGTACTTTAAGAGTTATGTCGTCCACTTTGATCCTCCGTCTAATTTCCTCGTTTCGGATCATGTCCCTTAGAGAAATTCCGAGCATAGCTCTCTCCATCGCCCGCTGTGCGACTTTTAATTTAGGGACTAGGCCTATAGGTGTCCATGTTTCTGCACCGTAAGTCATTACAAGGAGAATACATTTGTTAAAGATTTTCGTCTTCAAACATATTCACCCAAATTTGAATTTAAAAATGAATCTGTATTATTGTAAACATGTACAACATTTATTTGAAAAGAATACGAGCCGAGTTACTTGTCAGTTCTTCTCATCTCGAAATCATTCCGAACTGACGGTAGATTTGACATATCATAAGACAAATGAATAAAGATATTTTTAATTCGAATAAAAAAATGGTAACACTAAAGATTGGTATGCATAATATCCCGCTGCAACAACGTTTTTATCGCACTGAATCATATCTATACGTATTTACAAAATGTTATGTAGATAAAGCTTTCACAATAAAAGTGCTTGAAGGAAAATTTTCATAGAACGACTAATGAGGAGGTAAATGGTGCTTTGCGGCGTCGCTTGCACTGGTTTACAACTAACAACTGTTTCATGTTACTCCACTATGTTATTTATATTATTTATAGCAAGTATTTATGGTAAAAATGGTAATAAACCAACTAAAAGGCCCCGGAAGCGTGAGCATGTACCCATACGCTTCCACAATTGAGTAGGGCGAGATAGGTCGCCCGAACGCAGAGATGGGGCCGGACTAACGCGTCGGCCGGCCCAAGTCATGGTAGAATTCCAAGCCACCGCGACTCCAGCAATTCGAATTCAAAAATTCATTTATTCATGTAGGACATTTCAGCCGCTTGTGAATGTAATTTTTTTTATATTTTTCCCAACCGTCCAGAAGAACTGACAGGAAACTCAATTGAATTACCCTTTTTTTTTTTTTTTTAATTCAGTGTATTTACAATGTATATTTATATAGGTGTCTATGTTTAACATTAATGCAAATCCCGTGCATGAACAACTATTGCCGTGCACGCTCGTCATTCAAGTAATCGTTTAGGAACAAGCTTGGCCCTCGTAGGTACAGTGTGTGGGTTTTTATTGGCTCAAAATCACACACACCCTCGTTACCCCTCTGAAGGGGGACCTTTTGAAGATTTTTCTATATACAAAAAGGACCAATATTGCGTGTGCAAGTGACCCTGTAATAATAATATCATACTCACAGCGCCGTTTAGTCACAAAGTAGGAGGGAAAGTGGATAGTTAGTAATGTGGACTGTTGATATTATTGCTAGCAATGTACTATGTCAGGTTGACCTCCACGCGGTTTCCCCTGGAAACCATCGTGATAAGTTCGTGGTGAGGTTGTCACGATGGGCTAACTAACCTGACCTCATGTTCATCTTATCATCCACCACTGGTTCCCCGCCAGCGTAAACCTTTAGCGCGGCGGGTGCACCATTCCATTATCATCCATAAAAAAAAAAATATCACACTCACAGCGCCGTTTAGTCACAAAGTAGGAGGGAAAGTGGATAGTTAGTAATGTGGACTGTTGATATTATTGCTAGCAATGTACTATGTCAGGTTGACCTCCACGCGGTTACCCCTGGAAACCATCGTGATAAATTCTTGGTGAATTTGTCACGATTGGCTAACTGACCTGACCTCATGCTCATTTTATCATCCTCCACTGGTGCCCCGTCAGCATATACCGTTAGCGCAGGCGGGTGCATCATTCCATTATCATATACATATATAAAGTCCCAAGGTAAGCAGAGCTTGTGTTACGGGTACTGGACAACTTATATAAATACATACACACTTTTTTTGTAGACACATAATGTACATAGAAAACACCCAGATCGGTGCAAACAAATATACGTATACAAATGTTTATACCGAGCAAGGGAATCGAACCCTCGACCATCGTAAGCCAGTGTGCTAAACTGCTAGACCACCGATGAGTATAATTTGGCGTTCATATAATTACTAGCTACTCGCCCCGACTACGCACGGGTGTACATGTATTATATATATATAAACCTTCCTCTTGAATCACTCTATTTATTAAAAAAAAACCGCTTCAAAATACATTGCGTAGTTTTAAAGATTGAAGCATACATAGGGACGGACAGACAGCGACAGCGACTTTGTTTTATACTATGTAATTATTTGATATAATAAATTTATTGGGAATTACAAAGAAAAAGACTTGTAAATAAAAATTGCGATATTTCACTTTATTCAATTCATAATAAACACTGGACTAGGCAGCACTTACAAATATATTGTATTGTATTTAGTTTATTAAAAAAAAAACACTTTTTACAAAAGCAATTCCAAAATAAATTTTGCAGTGTCACCATTAAATTACAAAATACTAACACAAATAAAGCTGTATAATTATGCGTATGTTGTTTCTAAAAACAAAAGTTTTAGTTAAAAAAAAAATATACATTGAAATAATAATAAAACATATTCGAGTTCATTGCAATTTAATTTTCTATATTAATAATAATATACAATCACGACTATAATCCTAGATGGGATAGTCACAGTCAATGTCACCTGTGGCCGTGGTGGTGAACGCAACACTTGACATAATACATTCAAAATAGACCATAAAAAATGATAACTTATCCAACATTCGCATAGACCTGAAATTGGTATAGACGTTAAATGAACCATTACAAATAAAATGTCAAAATTCCCCTTCGATCCTACTTCTGCAAAATTTTTTATCCAAGGTCAAATGTCAAAATTTCAGGTTTTTCCCTTTTTTCTCTGAAACCGTTAATATTATCGTCAAAATAGGTCAGACAAAAGTTGTAGATCATACAATTCTCTACAAAAGTTGTCCTACTACTTTTTTTCGTACGAATCACCATTCGTGAGATATCGCGATTTTAAAAGTTGAAAAATTCTTATTCTTCTTCATATTCACACATTTCCGCACCACCTATGAGGTAATAAAATTATTTACCATAATAACATTTAGAATCTGTTCCACTTTGAATATTAGCAATAGTACCATTCTTTCAATCAATAGGATACGATCTGTATACTGATCAAACTTTCTTTATCGCAGTAGAACCACGAATAGATCACTATGTCAGTCACCTTTGAGTTATATATATTTAGATAGGTGGTATGGAAATGCGTGATTATTAAGAATACAAATTTTTCAACTTTTAAAATCGCGATATCTCACGAATGATGATTCGTACGAAAAAAAGTAGTAGGACAACTTTTGTAGAGAATTGTATGATCTACAATTTTTGTCTGACCTATTTTGACGATAATATTAACGGTTTCAGAGAGAAACGGGAAAAACCTGAATTTTTGACCATTGACCTTGGATAACAATTTTTGCAGAAGTAGGATCGAAGGTGATTTTTGACATTTCATTTGTAATGTTTTATTTAACGTCTATGCCAATTTTCAGCTCTATGCGAATTTTGGCTAACTTAAATGTCTATTTTGACTGGACTAACATGTCCTATCCCCATTCGCTCTGTATATTTGAATACAACGCGGCAGGGGACCAGCCTACCTCTATCTTTCACATATATACAATTTTAAAATCAGTTAAAACCTATAATATCACATTTCATCTAATAAAATTTAATTCATTTAGAAAAAATCATAAAAGACCTTTACAATAAACTTTTTGAAAAAAAAAAACGTCTTTGGATACTGTATATAAACTTAATCTGCTTATGAATACATGAATGTACATATATGTGGTAGCCCACTCTGCATAAACGAAATATCCTTTGGAAAGTATACACTCTATACTGAGGAGACAAAAACCATCGCTCCTAAGAATATCCATCAATTCTTGTCCCTGACGAAAAAGGGCGAGCACAATAGATCTACGTAGATCGTATATATCCATTTTCAATACCACATATGTACATCTTCTTTTATCTTTAATGAAACTAATTTCAAAGACAGAGAAAAAACATCGCCTACTGCTAAAAATAATTGACAATAAACAAACATAAAAATAATACTTTTATGTCTTTTTTATTTCGAGACAAAATAATTCGATAGTCAAAACGTCAAATAATTTATAATAAAAAAATTGGAAAATACCGAAGGCTGTATGGTAAATAAACCTGGTGTATAAAATGCGCAAATGAAAAATGGAAAGTGGAAAGTGGACTGTATATTTGATTTTTAGGATGAAAGGAGGCAAGGTACCTGGATTACTCGATGTCTTCCCGGAGGCCGGCCGTCCTTTCGTTCTTGTACGATGCTGCACCAGCACACTATGACACTTCACAACACACAAATATTGTCTATATGCAAAAATATACAAAATCAGTTTATATATTTTTTAAAATCACTAGTATTCTGACGACTTAGGCGTAATGCCGGTTAGTCAGGGAGAGAAACACCTCAATGCCTACAATATTCACAATTACCTATCTCTTATTTGTTTTTATAATAATATAAACACTTTCGCTCCAAAACTCCCGCTGCCTCCGTTCAATCATCCGTCATCCACTTGTCAATGTCACATAGATTACTTTGGCTCTGGCCTCTGACGTTCCGTTTCAGGTTACATGATATTGACTTTACCATTTTTAATTAATGGTGCGTCACACGATAGTTAACATATTGTCCAAAATACTAATTTTAATGCGGATGAAAAAACTATGATAGCCACCGTTCAACGATCTCCGAATGACTACGTGCGCGACAGCCCGAGTCTCGCCGATCGGGCTCGAGCGAAACATCTCTGTCCTTTTCAGATTCCTTGCCAAGGAAAGAGATAGATGTGGAGAGGACGTTAGGAAAGGAAAATAGGTATACAGGCGCAAACAAAACCCCTTAACTGCTTATAAGCCATATATGAAAAAAAAAAGATAAAACTGTTGTTCTTTAAAAAATAAAAGGATAATATTTCAATGAATTAAAATTTAATTTCAAAACAAAACATCTTTATTCTGTGTCTATTACAACTCAAATTTACAGTATGTAGTTAGAGAATAGACCGGTAATTATTTTTTTAAAAACAAATAAAATGATAATCGACCTTGTCGAGTTAGGTATGACCTTGACTTCTCTTGCCTTCAAATAAAAAAAAAAAGAGTCGTTTGAGAAATTCATGAAAATTCGAGTTGGTTTTAGATATGGAGTCTACAGAAATAATATTTTTTTAAACAAATGCAATGACATCAAAAAACTCCGGTGTGATCTTGACCAAATTTCTATACGCCCACACAAAGAGCATTAGCTTTCAAATAAGAGAAGTTTAAATAAAAATTAAGTGAGATTTGTGATTAAAAAATACAGACGATTGAGAAATTCATGAACATTCGAGTTGGTTTTAGACACAGAGAGTACAGAAAAGATTTTTTTTTATACAAATGAAATGACATTAAAAATGTCTGGTTTTTTTTTACCAAATCTACATAGGACAACAAGAAGAGCTGATTTATATTTAAATAAAAAAAAAAGTTAAAAATAAAAAGAAGGATTTGAGATGAAAAAAAAAAAATTTGAGAAATTCATGAAAATTCGTGTTGGTTTTGGACATGTTTTTTTTAACCAAATGAAATTACTTTAAAAGAGTCAGGTTTTTGACCAAATGTACATAGGACAACACGAAGAGCATTAGCTTTCAAATAAAAGAGGTTTAAATAAAAAAAATTAAGTAAAATATGTGGTTCAAAAATAGGAGTAGTTTGAGAAATTCATGAACATTCGAGTTGGTATATCTCAATGCGGATACACGTAATTTTGTATTCTAACAATAATGAAATAAGGTTTCTAATTTATTGAACTTAAAATTTACAATTCGATGAGTCACTTAAATATATAATGTTGCACCATCTTTTTTTTATACCTAATGTAGTATATGGCATTGTAATCTATGTATATATAAACGACTTTGCACCATATTTCTATGTACATAAAACACAATATAACTTGACAATAAGTATACAATGTGTTATTAATAAAAATGCTTATATATATATATAAATCTATATATATAAACAAACGACTTTGCGCAATATTTCTATGTACATAAAACACAATATAACTTGACAATAAATATACTAAGTAATGCGTTAAAAATTAAATACTGGGGAAATCCCCAGTATTTCATAGATTATCAGCACTTGAAAAAAAGAGTGAAAATGACAAATTCTACGATATATTTTATCTCTGAATTTAATATTATATAAACACTGTTTTTTTCTGACTACTCTGATGCTGTTGTCTGCAGCTGGCCTTTACAGCTTTACCGGACGATAGGGGGCGAGAGCAGATGGCACTCCAAATCAAAGGATGGACTTATGCAGAGACTAAATGCCAACTCCCTCCTGACGGATACGACTTTAGTCTGACTGCACTGCCAGGGATAGGAACCTCAGTTCAGGCTGTCGTAATTTCGGTCATATATCAGTTCGACCTCCACGCGGTCGTCCCTGGAAACCATAGTGGTTGATTCCTAGTGAATTCGCTACGATGTGCTAAAAACAGTTATTGCATCCCTTAGCATTGAACAACGTCCTGTAAATATTTTGAGATTATTATTCCATTCGAGGTCGTCCTACACTGCGTTTGCCTGTATGGACTACCTTTTCAAAATATCCATTATTCTAAAGCTAACAAAAATAATACTTACAACATAATACAATAAAATAATACTTATAATCAATTTTATAAACAAACTGAAATAAAAACCAAAAGAGATCTCTGTATTGGGACGAGTCACCGTCTCTAGTTTTCACTTGCTTCGTTAACGGTGTTTGTATCACCGGTGAGACAGTGCGAAACTACTTGTTGGCGACAAAACAATAACAATGGAATTAATTAATAAGTAAGTACAATTTGTTATATCATAAAATATAAGTAGTGGTTGATATTCGATTATAACGGGCCATCCGAACAGTTACGTGAATACTCAATTTCTGAACTCCTCCCGTGCTTGTCACAGTACGTCACATTTGTGAGATTCCTCCCGCCGTCATGTGACATCAAATACTTTACAATAACAATAAACATTATGGATATATTGTGCGAAAATAGAAATTTCGTGTTTAATATTAGATTCTTAAATGTTACAAAACATAGGCATCCTCCAGCCTTGTTAATATAGTTTACAATGCTAATAAACATTATGGAATTTTTTCGTAAATAGTTCAAATTTCGTGATTTTAATACCTATCTAATATTAGATTTTGTAATGTTACATCACAAAATACACAATTACTCCCGCTTTTGTCACAATAGTTCAAATTTCACAACTATCAACTTATCACTTATTAACAATTCAAATATCACTTATCAAAATGTAGTTAGTTTTAAAATTAACTACATTTTGATTTTGAAATGAAAACGAAATTCACGAATACTCCCAGTTCTTGTAACAATAGTTCTAATTTTAGATTTTGAAATGTAACGTCACAAAATTCACGACTCCTCCCACTTGTCACACATTGTCACAAGTTGTCACAATCCCATCATCAAACTGTGACGTAGTTTACGGATGGCCCCTATTCAATTTAAAACTTTAAGTTATTAATATTGTATTGTCATACGTACAGTGGAGTATATTATTTGCATTATGAGCTTTATTACAAAAAAAAAGTAATTAATAGTGTATCAATCTGGCAACACTGGGTGATGCCGACGGCGATTACAACGTCAGCAACAAAATGTTACAAGTAAATGTTTTTTTTTGTAATTTTTTTAAGTGTACATCTGTGGTTATTTAAAAAAAATGCATTTATATGTTATATAGTAACGAAAATGATTTATAATTTTATTAATATATAAAGTATATATTTTAGGCAGCTACATATTGATCTGCATTTCTACGTATAATTCGTAAATCACGGGATCTTTCAACGTTTTATTTTAATTGAGTTCCCGATATTGGATTCCTGATCTGCATTTCAATCTATAGGTCGTACTATTCCTGAAATATCCTATGATATTAAATTAACTTATTAAAAAAAATATCAAAACCTGTAGGAATTTATACGGGTTTCCTTTTGAAAGTCGAGTATTTTATTCCTTGCACGGTACAGTTCAATATTTATAAATAAGTTATATTAATATAATGACAACCCTGAATAATTTACACAGCGCCATCTAGTCTCAAGTTAAACAGAGCTTGTTTTTTTTATACTATAAATATATTTTATATATAAACAACCATACGGCTCATCTGATGTTTAATGGTTACCGTAGCCTATGGACGCCTGAAACACCAGGGGTGTCACGTGCACGTTACCGACCCTTAAGAAACCTTAATACACCCTTCTTGAAAAACCCCATACTTTTCTATGGGTACTAAACAACTTATAGAAATATTTAAATACATACATATAAAACACCCAAACTAATACAAGCAATCGTATTCATGAATATAAATGCTTGCATTCGGCGAGGATCGAACCCGCGACCATTGGAAGTAAGGTGTTCTAAACCGCTAGACTGCTGAAGCCGTCAAATAGTATTTATAAAAAAAAATATTTCATTTACTAATTGTCTAGTACCCATAACACAAGCTTTACTAATTTGGTACTAGATGGCGCTGTGTGAATTTTGGTAGCAGCCAATATAAATATATATTATATATGTAATAAATTAAATATACATTTTTAGGCTCAAAGTTACTTTTGCACATTATTTTATCATAACCTATTTTACAGGTATATATTAGTTATATTTACATACTGACATATTACGAATGTTCCGGCTACTTTTACACACTCTGGTTAATATTACTGCTGTGTTTATTTTATATTTACACGCTTATGACATTTCTTTGCACACATATGGCGTGGTACAATTGTTGGGACTACTTTTACACACTCTGGTGTATTTTATTATTGTATTTATTTTATATTTACACACTTATGTATTTTTTTGCACACACACAGCAGGTAATGGTTGTACCATTACATACTACAGTCACTTTAACTTCAAAGTTTGTGCTATATTTACACAAATGTAACATACTACGTATGCAGTGATTTGTGCATTATATCAAACACACCGCAATTGTGTAAATTAATAGTGTTAATAATTTACACAGTTGCGAATTTAACAATATTTTTTACATATTTTGGTAATATTGTTACTTCCCTATGCGGTTTATATTTACACATTAGCGGCATATCACAAATATCAAGTATAACTTTACACACTCGTTCTATACTACGAATGTTATGACTATTTTACACACTTTGATCATTTTACATGCTGGGGTTATTTTTTTAATACTGTCGGTTGTTCTCCACAGACTAGTTTTATAATTTTCTTTTATGTGAAAAACACGTACTTCCTGTTCTGTCGTCCTATTTTAGTCATATTGGCGCATAACTCTTGATCTCTGTAAAGATACGTTTTAATCAATTAATATTTTCTAAATTAAGGCATCAATAATCATCAATGTTTTTTTTTATAGTAATAAGTGTTCTAATCTAATTGTATTATTATAATCATAATAGTTATAAGATGCTAAACCTCTGCCTAACAAGTACACCAACAAAATATTGTTTAATCGAGGCAGAATAGGTAACTGAGTGTGAACTATTCAGCTAAGCAGTTTGCTTTCCCTGCTGTTTCGATTTTAGAGTAAAATATGATAGTGAAATTACATTATATAGAAGCACGTCAATTTAGTCCTACAGAATTACATGACCGAGATTTTTTTTATATCATTATAATTTCTATATCGTTGTAATTTCCTTGTGAATTTGTCACGAGCTAACCGACTTGATCTCATGCTCATCTTATACTTCACTGGTGCCCCGCCAGCATAAACCGGTAGTGCAGGCAGATGCACCGTACCATAACCATCCATAAAAAAAACTCTCCCCCCTTATGTAATAAGATAAACTTACCTAAGATCTCCCCAGCCTCCATTTCCTTTCACCAACTTCTTGTTGTGTTTTGCACCGCCGGCCGTGATGGTAGCGGTCACTCTCGTCGGGTACATGTAAGATTTCGCGTTCTGCAGTAGTTTCTGTACTTTGCTGATAACTGTTGACGCGTTGCAGTTGGATTTCTTGTGGTGGAAACCGCTGTAAACGTTTTTTTATATAGTTGTAAATATTCCATTTACTCAACAAATTCAAGTGACTCAACGGAAGTGGTATATCTAATAATCAGGTAATGGAAGAAGATTCTACTATCTCTCCTTTTAAATATAATCTAAATATCCATCTATACACAACACACGTTACTTGGTGGAACAATATTAAGAAGCAGACGGACCACGACAACCTTACTACTCAGACAACCCAGAACAGAGTTCTCTGGCGAAGATGTACAGAGAGACTCAAACCCCGATAAACTAAGTTAAGTTAACGTAAGGCAAGTTTATGCTCGTACAATCTAAACTTTTGTATTCATGAGTATGATTGTTGTATTACTAACAAACCAATTATATGTATATATTTAGAAAAAATAATGTATTTACTTATTTATATCAGTCATCTAGTACCCATAATATAATTTCTGCATAGCATGGGACTAGATAGCGCTGTGTAAATTGTTCAGGGTTACTATTATTATTACAAATAATAAATAAACAAAAAAAAATATAAATACTTAGATATATTTTTTGTACGACATACATAGAACACCCAGAGCGATAGAAACGATCATACTCGTGAATACAAAATGCTTGCACCGTGTGAGGAACCGACACTTACACCATCGCAAGAAACCGATGTGCTAGTCCGCTAGATCACCGATGCCGTTATGCTATTTTCAAATTTCAAATTCAAAATATCTTTATTCATGTAGGTCTATTAGACTCTTATATGTCAAATCTACCGTTAGTTCGGAATGATTTCGAGATGAGAAGAACTGACTGATTTCTATATAATAACAATAATAATAATAATCTCAGGACAATTCACACAGCGCCATCTAGATCCAAGTTAAGCTAGCTAAAGCTTGTGTTATGGGTACTAGACAACTGATACATATACATAGATATATTTTTTTTGTAAATACATACATATTATACATAGAAAACACCCAGACCGATACAAACAATCATACTCATGAATAAAATTGTTTGTGCCGTGCGAGGAATCGAACCCGCGACCATCGGTCGTAAAGCGGTGTACTAGACCACTAGACCACCGAGGTCGTCAAATATAAACTTACCATTCACCGATATGGAACACACGTGGTCCTTTGCACAAGATCACTTTGAATTTATCTCTATTTGGTCTATTCTGTGACAAGTGTAACAAAGAATAGTCCCAATTATAATCGTCGTAGGCGCAGAACTGTTTCTGTAATGCCATTATGTCATTCCAGACTGTTTTGTTGAATGCAAATCCCATATTGTGCATACTGGAGTGCCACGGCGTTATTTCCACCTGTAATTGCAATATACACTGTCGTAATTCCACATAACGATAGGGGATTATTAGTAATGGGGTATAGTGTCATAGAATCGAATAGAAATAATTATTATTGAAATAATTTTTTGATTAGGCAAGCAGACTTATCACAAGAAGAATGAACAAGAAACTTGCATGTTGCTCGATTAAATAACTGTTGCTCAGAATTACATATTTAAGAGTTTATGTGAATACAAACTGACAATTAGGAAAATTGGAAAGTAAATATATTGAGTAACAAAATAAATCAAAGTTATGATATTAATATGATAATAATTAATAATATAGAAGTTAACTGTCAACGTTATGGTAATCCAAACACTTGACAAGCACTAATTACTAAATATTAAAGTAATACAATGAAGAAATATTATTATACATGCATCAAACTGCAAACCAAGCAATTATAGAATTTTAGATTAAATAAACATGAATGGTTTCTAATTCCTGAAACTGTAAAGTTCCCCAAGCATACCAACATACCATCATGACTATAATCCCGGAGCACAATTTTTTATATTAGGGAATATTACATATTATAACATGTGGTTACAATAATTTGTAAGTATTGTTTGTTGTGAGTATTGATTTGTTTTTTTTTTGTATATATTAAATCTCAATTTATTATTAGTTTTCCACCTTGTTTTGGTAACAGTGGCACAGTATCATGAAAATTCTAGTTGGTTATCGAGCTAATACACTCTTTACAACTAACTTTGTATTTATATCTATACAATAAAGAAAGTTGAGTGTCTGTTTGTAATTTCCGAATAACATTAAGTGTATATGAAAGTATATATGGTACTTAAATAAAAAAATATTATATGTCTGTCCGTTTGTTCCTGCTAATTGATGAAACTTTGGATCGATTTTGACGGGACTCACTCACAGATAGCTAATATTATAGGGAGTAATATAATATCATATAGCAATAGTAAGTAAGTAATAGTAAGAAAGAGTAATATAATATCAAATAGTAATATAATATAGCAATTTCCTTTTAAACATTTAATTTATTCAATAAAAAATAAAGTTGAAATCCTCGCGAATGAAATAATTACTAACTAGTTTTGAATATTTCTCCTATATGTATGTTTGTAATGCTCGGAAACTATACTAAGAATAAAGAAATCAGGTGTACTCTATCTAGCACATACTGTGTATTATACAACATGCATTCTCATTATGCATGCATATATATTAAAAACTTATACTATTTCATTCTATTCCATACAATTTACAATCCGGCACAACTAATAAATTGTATTTATTTAAAAGTATATAAAAAATATTGAAATTAACTACAAAGTCACTGAAATATTTATAATATGGTTGTATAAAACAAAAACAATGATAATTTTCTTAAATTATTTTACTTACATAATTTTATACCACAGTGTGTAAAATTACCCCAAATGGATTATGAACTAAATTCATTATAAAATAATTTATTACAATAATGTTGCAATGTATAAAATTATCGCTATAATTTACTTGGGGTAATCTTGTATTATTTATTACAACTTATATGTTTGTGTAATATATTTATATAATAACTAACCCATTGTATAAATATATAACGCTACCCATTACATTGTAAATACCCAACTCATTGTGTAAATCTATACTGCTACCCATAACTATATATACATAAATATATACCGTTACCCATTACATTGTAAATACCCAACTCATTGTGTAAATCTATACTGCTACCCATAACTATATATACATAAATATATACCGTTACCCATTACATTGTAAATACCCAACTCATTGTGTAAATCTATACTGCTACCCATAACTATATATACATAAATATATACCGTTACCCATTACATTGTAAATACCCAACTCATTGTGTAAATCTATACTGCTACCCATAACTATATATACATAAATATATACCGTTACCCATTACATTGTAAATACCCAACTCATTGTGTAAATCTATACTGCTACCCATAACTATATATACATAAATATATACCGTTACCCATTACATTGTAAATACCCAACCCATTGTATAAATTTATACCGCTACCCATTATATTGACACCTATATATTAAACGATATATAATATAACATATAGCGTATTTACAATAAATGTAACAAAAACCAAACCAGAAACAAAACAAAACAATCATAATATTTACAATTACCACGGAAATTATAAGGGCGCTACCTTCTCTGTCTTTCTTAGATTATAGATAGATGCACTAATTTACAAGTTAACTGAAAATAATTAATTATTACTAAAAAAAATCTTTTACAACAAGCTTCCAAAGCCATATCAAATTTGAAGTGACGCCATTATAATAATTAACTACACCGCCATCTTGAACGGCCATGTTGGTTATAGGACGGCGTCATTTAGCTAACCTCTATGGAAAATAAATAACAGAGTCCTAATTAAAATAGCAACTAAACTATGTATTATTGTTACATTTTGACTTGTTGAGTCTTAACGAGAGAGATATACTTCTCTCTCGCTCTTTTAGTCGACTCGAGCCGTGTTTAAACGAAGGTTGACATAGCTATGATTCTCATTGAACGAACCATAGAGTAAAGTACTAGTACGTAGAAAATATGTTCACAAGCATAATATACAGCAGACAAGGAAGGAGGCTGGATAGGGAGATCGATAAATGACGTCACATACTAAGCAGTGGAGAGTGACATTGTGACAAGAGACGAAATAAAAGTCATGACGTCATAATTCGTATTAAATATGTTCTGTTAAAAAAGCTAGTTTCAAACTGGTTTCCATTTGAAATTTTAAAATATGTGACGTCACAATAGGAAGAAGGGACTCTCACAGCTGTGAGGAAGTTCTTCAAAATGTCATTTAATACGTATGACGTAATATATAGAACAATCTCAAATTATGTTCAAAATACGCAGTGTATAGACGTAGCAAGGATGTTCAGGGAAGTGTAGAAAACCTAGGATTTTCTCTGAATCTAATATCTTCCATTACACTTCCTCTATACATGTAACTAATTAAAAAAATATATAGGTTCGTATACTACTAGTATTTTCTTTATATTTTATCGAATAGATTTATATTATTTTGTTTAATTCCGCTACAATTATCATGTGTGAGACCACAACTATTCGGTGTGGAAACTTAACTTAATTTACCGTTACGACTTTCTCCAATGGCGATCAAATTCTGACCGTTATGAGTCTACACCCATATATCGCCTCACCAAAGCAGCATCAGGCATTGAATAGTTTTGAAGCCTATTGTAGACAGTTCAGAGACAGACTTCGACCGTTCCAAACACAACTAACAAATATCTGTTTGGCGAATCGACTGAGTCGTGGTTTGGTCACCGTACAGTCAACGCTAGGCTTCCAAGCTATATCCGAACTATTCAATGCCTGATGATGCCTCGTAGAGAGGCGAAACACGTGTATACTCAATAACGGTCGAAATTTGATCACTAATAGAGAAGGTCGTAATGGTAGTCAAGTTTCCGCACTGAATATTTGTGGTCTCACACATGACAATTGTAGCGGAATTAAACAAAATAATATAAAGTCATTAAGTATTGTTTTCTTTACTAATATTGATGGCACGCTTGATTTTATATTATGAGACTTTGACAAAAAACGCGGTAGATAACTATGAGACACAGACTAGATACATCAAAATAAAAGAGCAACACACAAGTTGCTTCCTTATTCTTCTTGTGATGAGACAGCATTCCAAATAAGCGGTAGATTTAAAAAAAATATTGACTATTCAAAAGTGCTTAAATTAAGTTTATTTGAATAAATGATTATCTATTCTGAAATGATTTTCTATTCTATTCTAATAATAGCAATTATTATTCTGATGTATCTAAGAAACTGAGAGAAAATGTCGTCGGTTAAATAGAAAAATGGCAGTATTCAAAATGTACATTTTTTACAAGCATTTAAAGTTTTTATTTATTTAAATTATAATTTCCTTTAAAGTTTTAAATTTACACAGAAGTATTATATATCATTTTAAAAGTGTTTAGATAATGATTAAGACGGCGTGGTTAATTTAATTGACTTATATAAAAGGAGGTAATTCTAGCTTGTAATTTTGAAAAAGTCATTTTTCTATTTAATCGAAGATGGGCCCCCTGTGTCCCATAATAACTTCCATATAGTTATAAATTGCGGAGGTTATCTATCACCTTAGATAAAGGTTAAACATGTTAGATAACCCTCATACCTGGCTACATCCATACATAAAAGTAGTTCCTTCAACAAGATCTCTTCAAACATACAAACTCTTTATTATGACGAGTTTTATACAAAGTCAAATATCATACAAACTTAAAATTAGTAAAAATCACGGGATCTTACCACGTTTCATCTCTATGGAGTTCTCGATTTTTCATTATATATTTTGAAAATTTTCATTCATTTCAATTCATTGAAAATTTTTGTTTCATTAACAATTTTTTAGTAATTTCTTCCAAAAACCTATTGATTAAGTTTCTTAAGTGTCCATTTCAATTAATTAATATTATATAATCAATATGATATGTTCTATCATTACGCAGTATAAAATAAAGTCGCTGTTGCTGTCTGTCCGTCCCTATGCATGCTCAAAACTTTAAAACTACGCAACGGATTTTGAAGCAGTTATTTTTTAATAAATAGTGATTCTAGAGGAAGGTTTATATATATATATAATACATGTACACTCGTGCGAAGCTGGGGCGATTAGCTAGAAAATAATAAACTTCAGAAAGGCTAAGTTGGGGCATGGCACTAAATTTAAAGATTTCTATTTAAAGACAGTAGGTAGGTAGAACCGATATGGTCAAAATTTATATTGTCAGAACTTATATCCTGTACTCAAAAATAAATATGATTATATCAAACTTCTAGAACATACATTTATCTCATTCAAACTAGATGGCGTTGTAGTCACCGAAATCTGCTTTACCGGGGCACGATGGCCAACGGTTGCCGTTGACGGTAACACGTGGTAAGATACCGTGATTTTTACCAATTATACGTATAAAGAAAGAAAGAAAGAAAAACATTTATTGTCAACCATTATTACATATACACATTTGACAATTGTACACTTTACACACACACACTCATATACATATATACATACATACACACTTAGAACAATTACAATAATCATCTTATATTATTTCTACATATGGTTGGCAACATGGCTGACACTCAGCATATGCCGTGACAGCTAACTGTCACGGCGCTGGTACTCTGTGCCTGCCATTTGTGACAACACGTACAGCTCGATGTCAGTTATTTTAACCTTTGACATCTGTCAGATGTCATTATTGTTACTGACAGCAAATTTTTACGTGTTCGAGACCTGCCACGTACACAATTACTATTTTAATAGTATCAAGGAATGGAAAACAGAAAAAAAATACAGTTACTAAAATACGTATAAATAATAAGCGTAAAATTTAAAACAGTACATACAACAGCATGCATGCTACAATTATCTTAACATTCCTTTTGTATAAAGCCGAATACAACCTACTAATATTTAATCAAATTAGGTGTCATTTTGCGGAAGTCAATTTCACTACTCGATGTATTTATATTATTTTGGAATTTGATCGCTATTAGAGAAGGTCGTAACGGTAGCCAAGTTTCCACACCGAATATTTGTGATCTCACACTTGACAATTGTAGCGGAATTAAACAAAATAATATAAATTCCATTAAGTAGTTAATATATTAATTTTGTTATTAGATTGAATCTGACTTGTATTTTAGGATGCATTAAGAAACTATCGAGGAATTAATCTATATATAAATTTTGTAAATACATAAATAATATACATATAAAACACCCAGACCTATACAAACAATCATACTCATGAATACAAATGTTTGCACCGTGCGACAAATCGAACCCGCGACCATCGGAAGTAAATCGCTGTGCTAAACCACTAAACCACCGAGTATACTGTATACATATCACTACATATTATAAAACTACGTCGCTGTCGCTGTCTGTCCGTCACTATAAATGCTTAAATCTTTAAAACTACGCAACGGATTTTGAAGCGGTTTTTTGAGTATATAGAGTGATTCAAGAGGAAGGTTTATATGTATAATACATGTACAGTGGACCCCCGGTAGTCCGACAATCATTTTACAGGGCAGTGTCGGACTATCGAATTTGTCGGATTATAGAGTACTGCCTAAGACCCTTTATAGTCCGATTTTTTTTACAAAAGAGTACCGTGTAATCCGACAAATTATAGATCCAATGATGATTCTTTATATTATATACATACAGTGGAACCCCGGTTATCCGACAAACGTTTTGCAGGGCAGTGTCGGACCATCGTATTTGTCGGATTATAGAGTGCTGCTTAAGGGTCCTCTGCTTATAGTCCGGAATTTTTTACAAAAGAGTATCTTGTAATCCGACAAATTACAGATCCAGTGATAAGATTCTATGTTATATATGTATGTATGTATATGCACTCTGAAGTATATTGTCAAAGTAATATTCAATAACAAATAATAGACAATGTCGGATTACAAGGGGGGCCGGATTAGACAGGGGCCGGATTACCGCGGGTCCACTGTATATTCGTGCGAAGCCGGGGTAGTAGCTAGTATTGAATATGTATTAAAATTACACAGTCTATTCTTAATGCATCCTGAGGTTTATTATGTTACGTGATTGCTAACAATTCTGATTTCAAACACATTTACCAACCTTCATATTTACAATTAAATACATACATAATATATATTTGTTTGCAACATAAATGTGTCTAAGTTGATCTGAATAAAAACCTTATTAATATAATACTATTAATATTATATTAGTCTAATTGGAGTGTCTGTTTGTAATATTGAAATAACCGTTATACTACATGCATATGAATATAATACGGTACATACACCAAAATATAATTTTTTATAATTTTCGTCTGTCTGTCTGTCGGTCTGTTTGTTCCGGCTAATCTCTGAAATGGCTGGACCGATTTTGACGAGACTTTTTTGGCAGGTAGCTGATATAATAAGGAGTAACTTAGGCTACTTTTACTTTAGAAAAATAAAGTTAAATTCCACGCGGACGAAGTCGCGGGCACAGCTAGTATATAATAAAATAATAACTAATTTATTCATGTAGGACATTTTAGTCGCTTATGAACGTAAATTTTTTTATATTGTAATTTTTTCCCTATCGTAAGAAAGACATAAAAAAAGACAGACGAAACCGTAAGTAACCAAAAGTTGGTGTTTAATCAGAATTGTTAGCAATAACGTGAGATAACAAGCTGGTATTTATCAAGCGTTAACCAGCCAGTGAGAGCGAATAAAATTAGATACATTCCGACTTCATTAGCATCTCTAATATGTGCTAAAAAGGGACCATCCAAATATTACGTCACACCAATTACAGGAACTATTACACCCTCTAATTAAAAGTAGTTAAAAGTTTAATTCCTTTAATACTAAAATATGTCATAAAATCTAAGACTCTCTAAGTGTTTGGGAGTTTTTAGTCACAAAATCTAAGACTCGAAAGGGGGTAAGACCTCCCTAGGAGGATGGAGTGTCTATAATTCATGATTTTAGGAGGTTGGGGAGTAGAAATGTAATGTCACAAAATATAGGACACTCTAAGAGTTTGGGAATTTCTAGTCACAAAATGTAAGACCTCCCTAGGAGGATGGAGTGTCTATAATTCATGATTTTAGGAGGTTGGGGAGTAGAAATGTAATGTCACAAAATATAAGACACTCTAGAGGTTTGGAGTTCTCAGACCCCATTTTTACTTGGAGAAAATCCCTCACGGAGATCAGCCCACCCCGGGGAGGCAAGCGGGTACTGGGAGACTCCACTCACTGATCACTCCATGGTATCCCGTTGAAGCGCCTATTGTCGGAATCGCGGGATTGCAATGTCAGTCCACCGCTACTCCGCTAACTGACCTGACTGACCTAACTGACCGTTGTCGTATCTCTACTGGTACTAGCTTTTCTCCTTCTGTCCACCCTCCGACGGTAACACTTTTTCGTGACCGAAAAATCCTAATACAGGGTGTATGGTCGGTATGGAAGATTCACTTCAAAAATTTGTTAGTGTGCATATATGCGTCTAAAGTAACTAAAATCTTATAAGATCAGCCTGTATATAAGAAACATATGTGTTAATGTCGCTTATTAGAATTTCCGGCATCGAACATATAAACTTAGAACATAGTGAAGCAAATATATTTCCCTTTTGCGCAGTTAAAGGTATAACTATTATTTTAGTTGTCACACTTTATCGGCAACCCATCGTTAACGTGTGACGCAATTTGTGAATGGTCCCTAAAGGAATCAAATTACAGAAAGATGACAGAACAAAAACCTTTTGTGTGTTCGAGTAGATGTTCGGGTACACTTGGAAGTTCCAGGTCTGCGTTTCCTGTTGCCGTCTCCTTCTTTCTTCGTTCGCCGCTTTCACTTGCTGGATGTAGCTGAGTGTGAGTTGCTTCTTCCTCTGTGTTAAGGTTTAGAATTGCTTGCCAATTTTGTACAACTATACTTTTACTTACGAATTAATGTTAGAGAGAATAAAATAATATAATATGAGCTTATCTTTAATATTACATTGAAACAATATTTTTTTTATTTTTATATTTGGAATACATATTAATTTATCTATTTGTTTTTTTGTAGCTTTTTCCATTTAATTTTCATTATGTAGCCATTGTTAATTTTACTTAATATAACAAAAACTAAATACTAGTTGGTGAATAAAGAAAATAAAAAATAATCTATCACATATTTTAATAACGTTTAGTTTACTTAGCAATTAATAATAATAATATCATTGGACAATTCACACAGCGCCATCTAGTCCCAAGCTAAGCAGAGCTTGTGTTATGGGTACTAGACAACTGATATAAATACATAGTTACATTACAGTTTTCCTAACAATCTTTACAGACTTGAGAGATCTCAGTTATCTATTTTAAACGAGATATTTTCGTCTTATCTAAATTATACTTAAATAAACGTATCTAAGATTTTATTTTCAAGAGAACTCATAAAATACTTATCTTATAGAAGCCAGTAATGACTACATTATGAATGCGTAACATAGTCTTCATTTATTTATTAAGACAATAGTTACATTTCTCCGATGGGATGGGTCACTAGTCTATGGACCAGTTTTTTTTTTCGAAATATTCTAATGCAACCGCAATTGGCCTATACAGTTTCACTGAAAGATAGGGGGCGAGTGCAGATGACACTCCAAAGATCTTATGAAGCGGCTGAAAACAACTACCGCTTGATGGATACGACTTTAGTCTGAGAGCACCGCTAGAGGAAAATTATAATGTCTCTAATAATGTCTCAGGACAATTGACACAGCGCCATCTAGTTCCAAGCTAAGCAGAGCTTGTGTTATGGGTACTAGACAACTGATATAAATACATGGATACATTTTTTTTTGTAAATAAATACATATTATACATAGAAAACACCCAGACCGATACAAACAATCATACTCATGAATACAAATGTTTATACCGTGCGAGGAATCGAACCCACGACCATCGGATAGTAAAGCGGTGTGCTAAACCACTAGACCACCGAGGCTGTCAAAATTGGGGAATATTTGAACAAAATTCTGTTCCCATATTTTTTTCGTTATTCAAAAGAGACTTAAAAAGTATTGTAAATATATTTAGTGATTAAATATTATTAGAATTAATTTAAAAGGAACGGTCGTAGCCAGTCTCAGAACTGTCTGCAATAGGCTTCAAAACTCTATTCCATGCCTGATGCTGCTATATTCAGAGGCGAAGTATGGGTGTAGACTCAATAACGGTCGGAATTTGATCACGAAGGTCGTGACGCTTCCAGTAGCGGTGGTCAGGATTCCGCACTGAATATTTGTCTCATACATGATCATGATAATAGTAGTGGAATTGAACAGAATGATATAAATCCATTAGGTAATTAAGGAAACAGTTGGAGTCGTGTCTTAGCAACGAGTAAAGAGAATGATGTACAATCATGGAATATAGTAATATAGTAAGAGCGTGGCGAGCTGTATTCATTAATAATTTAAGACCACACGAGCGTGGCCTTAAATTAAGAATGAATATAATAATTAAAAGAAACTATTAGTATACAAATAGAAAGAAATAGAAAAGTGTGAAAGCCTAAATTTGAAAATTGGAGTTTTTAGTGTAACTATTATATAAGAGTACATTACCCAAACTGTAAAACAAAAATTAATATCTCAGAACAATTTACACAGCGCCATCTAGTCGCAAGCTAAGTAGAGCTTGTGTTATGGTCACTAGACAATTGAGATTAATACATAGATACTTTTTTTTGTAAATACATACTATACTTAGAAAACATCCAGAACGATATAAACGATAGCAAGAATACAAATGTTTTTACCGTACGAGGAATCGAACCCGCGACCATCGGAAGTAAGGTGATGTACTATATCACACCTATATTTATATTATTATTACATATATGTTAGCCTATAAAGTATCTTGTAAAATATTGTAAAAAGTTTGTGACTATAAATTGAATTCTTTCATGCAAAAACTACTAAACGGATATTGATGAAACTTTAAAGTAATATAACTTATACATCACAATAATATATAGGGTATAATTTAAAAAGATAATATAGACCACAGACCGTCATTTATGTCACATTAAAAAAATCACATTATCAATTACTAGCTGTGCCCGCGGTTTCACGTCAAATTTCAAATATATTTCATATATTATTTTGATGTATAAGCAATATTACAGTAGTGTTATCAAAGTCCGTTCAGTACAAACTTTCGCATACATAATGTTATTAACATTAATACCAAAGTATGACAAGAATGTGACGAGAATGTGACCAACTTACCTTATCCCCATTTACATGATACTGGTAAGTTTTCAAATATGTACCCAGTGACAGAATCTCGCATTGGGGACAACTTCTGTCCGCCGTTGCTCGAAGCAAGTGAAGCATGTGTATAAAATCTTCAGCTACGTAGTGATCTTCTTCGAGAAAGACAACCATACCTGTAAAATACCATTAATAAATATAATTGAGCGTCATAGCTTAAAGGTTTATTAGAGGAAATTATCAGACTCAACAATACGCGTAACGAATATCGATATAGTGTGACAATAGCTGCCTTTGAGAGAACCATACCTGTAAAATACCATTAATAAATATAATTGAGCGTCATAGCTTAGAGGTTTATTAGAGGAAATTATCAGACTCAACAATACGCGTAACGAATATCGATATAGTGTGACAATAGCTGCCTTTTAGAGAACCATACCTATCAAATACCAATGATTACATAGTATAAAATAAAGTCAGCGGCTAGTGGTTTATAAACGGACCGGAATTATCAGTCTCAATAATACGCGTAACGAGATATATCGATATAGTGTGACAATAGCTGACTTCATATTCATACTATCATCCCCCACTGGTGCCCCGCCAGCGTAAACCGTTAGCGCAGGCGGGTGCAGCATTCCATTATCATCCTTTTAAAAAAAAACTTGCAAATACTATTAATAAATATAATATAGCTTCATAGGCTAGTGGTTCATACACGGACTTAGCTCGGAATGATCAATTTCAACAATGCGCTTAACGAGAAATATCGATATAGTGTGACAATAGTTGCCTTTAAGAGAATCATACTTGTAAAATACTATTAATAAATATAATATAGCTTCATAAGCTATTGGTTTATACAAGGACTTAGCCCGGAATGATCAATTTCAACAATGCGCGTAACGAGATATATCGATATAGTATGACAATAGCTGCCTTTTAGAGAACCATACCTGTAAAATACTATTAATAAATATAATATAGCTTCATAGCCTAGTGGTTTATACACGGACTTAGCCCGGCAATTATCAGCCTCAACAATACGCGTACCGAGATATATCGATATAGTGTGACAACACCTCCGTTTAAGAGAACCATACCTGTAAAATACCATTATTAATAAATATAATACAGCGTTATAGCCTAGTGGTTTATACACGGACTTAGCCCGGAATGATCAATTTCAACAATACGCGTAACGAAATATATCGATACAGTGTAACGACACCTCCGTTTAAGAGAACCATACCTGTCAAATACTATTAATAATTATAATAGAGCGTCATAGCCTAGGCTTTGCTCAGTAAGTATGATTTAACAGATGTTTTGAATTTATTTAAGGGTAACTCCAGTATAACGTTTGGTATCTTATTGTAAATTTTCATATCTACCCCCATAGAAGACTTGTTGACTTTTTCTATACTCTACTTGGGGACAGCAAGTTTGTCTTTAAAGGTAGTATTAATATTATATATATTGCTGTTTTTTGGAAATAAGTGAAGATTTTTGTAAACAGAATACTACCCGTGCCCGCGACATCGTCTGCTGGGTACGAATTTCCGTACAAACTTTCATCCCCTATTTTATTTAAAGGTAATTTTTTTTATATTTATTTATATTAAATCAACAGCCTCATAATAAATTTCTAGATTCTAGCTTCAAACATGACGATTCTGCCATACAACCGTTCATACCCCTTTCAACCCCTTACAACCCTTTTTTTCCCATTAAAAAGTACCCTATGTCCTTACTCAGGGTCTAGACTATCTGTGTATCAAATTTAATTTAAATGGTTTTAGTAGTTTTGATGTGAAAGCGAGACAGACAGACAGACATACAGAGTTACTGTCGCATTTGTAATATTAGTAAGGATTTGAGTATAGAAATTGAGAAGTAACGGTGAAAATATTTTGAAGATTTTTAACTCTAATATATGTTACCTGTGTGACCAGCAGTGCTCTGGAGCTGATTAAATATCCTATTGGCCTTCCACCACCAGTGATGCTTCGTTTGTGTATACTTCGCCTCTCTGTAGTGGCCGTGCAGATCCGGGTGTAGAGCATTGTTACATTTCAGTTTTATTGCTCTGTAAAAAAAATAACCATCATACAAAATTGTCTGAATATATTAAAATAGTATAAAGTAAAAAAAGAAGAAGTATTGCACAGGGTAAAAGAAGAAGGGCAGATATTGAATGCTATAAAAATATTCGAGGAAAAAGGTTAGGAGAAAAGAAGTATTGCACAGGGTAAAAGAAAAAAGGCAGATATAGAATCCTATAGAACATAGACGAGGAAAAATGTTAGGAGAAAAGAAGAAGTATTGCACGGGGTAAAAGAAAAAAAGGCAGATATTGAATGCTGTAGAAAATAGACTAAAAAAAATGTTAGGAGAAAAGAAGTATTGCATCGGGAATACTTCTTGTCTCCTAACATTATGTATGAATATACAGAAGGTAATAATTCCTACACTAAACGTAGTAACACACTGCCCAAGAAATCAAGCGGTGATACTCTATAATAAGTTACCGAAGGATCTTAAATTATTCAATAGTTTGAGTTGCTTTACAAAAAAATTGAAGTCACTACTAATAGACAAATGCCTATACTCAGTTGACGATTTTTGATGATTTTTTTTTGTTATTAATGACATTCTGTAAAATGACAACATGGAAATTTATTAATTTTATCAATCATCGTATCAACATTCAAATACAATGTACATTGTTCATGAATAAATAAATAAAAGAAAAAAGGCAGATATTGAATGCTATAAAAAATAGATCTAATAGATCAAAAAATTACAATTTTCCATACAAACTTTCTTTCCCGATTTCATTTTACCTTCATAAGGGAGGGAGATTCCTTAACCTTTACAAATTTTGTCTCAAATTTAGAGAACAAAGAAACTTTAATACACCCTTCTTGAAAACCCCTATTATTGTTTTTTTTTTTATTTATTGGGTTGTTTGGGCTTTTGTCAGGTGCCTGTAGCACCTGTGGCACTGCGACCTACATAGATCTATTCTGCTCGCCCTTATTCAGAGTTCGCTACTTAGACCCGTCAGGGACAAGAATTGAAGGATATTCTTAGGGGCGATGGTTTTTATCTCCTCAGGATAGAGTGTACCTTTTGTTTAACTTCGTCTCAAACTTAACCTTTCGAATGTTTATCGTCTGTCGCGGCGAAAGTGAAGAGGCGGTATGCGCGCCGTCAGCTGTATTTTTTCAAATACATTTCAATCTTATTTCGTTTTAAATAAGAACTAAATTGGTTAAAAAGAAGTCACTGTTTTGCGGGCACAGATCTGTGACAAGACGGTAATACGGTTCAAGAGGGCTGCACAGATCTGTGTCAAAACGTTCGAAGGGTTAAGAGAAAAAACCTTAATATACCCTTCTTGAAACCCCCTATTATTATCCTACTTACTGTTCAAATTTCGCGTCTCTAGGACAGTCCTTGGGATCTATTCCGGGGAACTCGTGTGGGTGCACTTGTATTGAATAAGGGTAGAATATTTGCATCACCTGTAAGGGGTAATAATAATTAATACACGATAGAGTTTGACGACCTCGGTGGTCTAGCGGTTTAGCACACCTCTTTACTTCCGATGGTCGCGGGTTCGATTCCTCGCACGGCACAAATTTTTGTATTTATGAGTATGATTGCTTGTATCGGTCTACGTGTTTTCAATGTATAATATGTATGTATTTAACACAAGCTTTAGCTAGCTTAACTTGGGTCTAGATGGCGCTGTGTGAATTCTCCTGAGATTATTATTATTATCAGTTATCTAGTACCCATAACACACGCTTTAGCTTAGCTTAACTTGGGTCTACATGGTGCTGTGTAAATTGTCCTGAGATTATTATTATTATAATAGACAAATAAACATTCAATTTTGCGTTAAAAGCATAATATAAAAAAAAATGTAATACAAATCATTTCAAAAGTTAAGCTAACTAAAGCTTGTATTATGGGTACTAGACAACTGATACAAACACATAGATTTACATTACGTAAATACACACAGTATTTAAGAAAAAAATCTATGTATTATACATAGAAAACACCCAGATCGATACAAACAATCATACTCATGAATACAAATGTTTGCACTATGGGAGTAATTGAACCCGCGAAAGTTGGAAGCGGTGTGCTAAACCAGTAGACCACAGAGACTGTCAAATGGATATACACCTCCGATCAATCCCCCGTCCAACACAAACGGGGATCGAAATTACGACGGTCTGAGCACAGGTTCGAACCCCTAGAGGTGTCCTTAGACTAAATTTGTAACCGTCAGGTGAGAATAGAATAGAATAGAAAATCATTTATTCAAATAAACTTAATTTAAGCACTTTTGAATAGTCAACATTTTTTTTAATCTACTGCTTATTCGGAAAGCTGTCTCATCACACGAAGAATAAGCAAGAAACTCGTGTGTTGCTCTTTTAAACAATCCTTGTAAGTTCACATTTTACAAGTCGAAACGTGTGAATACAAACTACCAACCAGCACTAATTTATTTAGACTCAAATATAAAAACACAATAAGATTAAATCAGTCGTAGTGATAAGAGCAGACCAGTCCCTACAAGCAGCACGAGTATGACGGATGAGCCAGGCATCACTGCGCTCGACCATATTTTAGGGAGCCCAATGACCCGGCCCACCACGCCGCCACATGACTGGACATTTTAGTGAGCATGACTACTCATTCCACTCGACCACGTCACAGCTACAAAAATACTATATGGTAGTTACAGTATTCGCACTTTACATGAGGATGCATGCGGCAATCAATACAAAAGCCGCTACGCTATCATATATCAAGAAAGCAGTATGAAAAATAAATTATAACGTTGTCCGCAAATAAACTTATACTTGCTATATATTGCTATCATCTATAAATCCATCTATCCTATAATAGGCTTTTTTACATAACATTTGTTTAATATAAAGTTTGAATTGAGAGTTGTCTATCATAAGTCCTTTCTTTGGTTTGGAGTGTTCAGCCGCTCCATAAGTCCTTCTTTTGGTTTGGAGTGCCATTTGCACTCGCCCCCTATCGTCCTGTGAAGCTGTAAAGGCCAGCTGCGGCCAACAGCATTAGAGTAGTCCGCAAAAATAGATTCCCTACCTTTGTAAAGTCTATGCTCTTCACCAGATTGTTGATCTCCTCATCATAATAATCGTGGGAAAAGATTAACAATGTTCGGTCGATATCTCGCGCCTGCGCCAGAGACACTATCAAATGTCTCAGATATGTCAACCGTGTGTGGACCTGTGAAAAAAAAATGTATATTGAAAAAAAAAAACGAAAACGGTATGAAAACAAGTCTAGTGCCAAGTTCAGCTGAGCTTGTGTTATGGGTACTAGACTGTTGCGGGTTAATAATACGATTGTTGGTCGAGTATATTACAGATGATAATAAACTGACAATATGTACATAGAAATAATGATCTTATATACTAAATAACAATAGGAAATTGTAAGGTGGGGTGACACAGTTTAGACACGGCAGTGCTTAGTAGACAATATTGAATTTGTCTTACTAGACATTAGTAAATGCAATTATTATATTGATGTATTTAGGCAACTGTGTCCCAGATATTCTCCCTTTGAGAAAAAAAAAATATTACATATACACAAAATAAAATTATAAAAGTTAACTGTAAGTTTTAAGATATTATGCACTTTAGTAACAATAGAAATTCATTATACCCAAATAACTGTCGTGGGTTTAGGGTACTTATCGATTGCTTGCCATTTTTCTTGCGTAGGTTTCATACCTTGGCTCGTTATATATGATAACCAAGAAAATCTAACTCATTTTTTAAATACTCGCATTTGCTCATTTTAATTGTAATTTTCATTTATACGAGTAAATTCGTTTTATACCTGGCCCATTGACTGCTTGATGTGCTACTTGTATCAATTTCACTTGTGAAAGATGGCGAAACAAGCTATATTATATTAAAAAATGATATATAGAATAATCTGGTACAAGAAGAAAACATATATAACAAGAAAAAAAAAAAAAAAGTAGAGTTTCGCAAAACAAGTGAGACAAATACAGAAATACTTATTTAGCGTCTATATTGTTACCGCTATTATTTGTGTTTATGTTGTGTTCTTGTAGCAGTAGCGGAAAAGAAGGAGGTGAAATGATGAGTCCAGATTGTTGTTATGTACATATTTATAATTACGAAATATTTACAATGAATATATAGGTATGTACAAGAAAATGATTCGGTCTCGATTTTGACAAGATTGTTATTCTTCTAGCCCCATCGTAACTAGGCAACGGTGTTGCCGCACGATGATAGTAGATTCGCCACACTTAATTTATTGTAATTATATACATAGAAAACACAATGACAAACAATCATACTCATTAATACAAACGTTTGTAGGTACCATGCGAGGAATCGGACCCGCGACCATCGGACGTAAAGCGTCCACTAAACCACTAGACCACCGAGACCGTCAAAGCACAAAACTTTATGAAAATCGGAAAAGCCGTTTCGTAGGAGTTTGGTCGTAATAAACATCGCGTTATATGTATTCAAATTCAAAAATCATTTATTCATGTAGGACGTTTAGCCGCTTATGAACGTCAAATTTTTTATATTATAATTTTTTTCCTACCGTCCAGTTCTGTATATAGATCCAATTGAGAAGAACTGGCAAGAAACTCAATTGAATTACTTAAACGTAAGTGATTAGAGAAGACGATTGAAATAAATATAAATAGAAATAACCTTTATTCAAATAAACTTAATATAAGCACTTTTTAATAGTCACAGTTTTTTAAATTAAAATATTAAATTATTAACACTTCCAGCGACATTAAAATCTCTTTCGTTATTATTTCTTAATTCTCAAACTGTCATAATATTATTTTTAATCTGTGACATCTAGTGTCGTAAATATTTTAGATTATTGTATTTTTTTATTAACTTACTTCTGAAATGTTGGATCATGACGATGAGGTGTCTTTTGTAAGTAATTAATAATATCTACACATATAAATAAAATTGTAGTGTCTGTTTGTAATATTGAAATAACCGTTTTTTACTACATGCATATGAATATAAATACGGTACGAGTACATACACCAAAACAACATTTTTTGCAATTTTTGTCTGTCTCACTGTTTGTTCCGGCTAATCTCGGAAATGGCTGGACCGATTTTGACGGGACTTTTTTTAGCAAATAGCTGATGTAATAAGGAGTAACTTAAGCTACTTTTATTTTATAAAAATAAAGTTAAATTTCACGCGGACGAAGTCGTGGGAACAGGTAGTTACAACTATGGATGGGGCAGATAGAGGTATCTAAACGTGGTGAATGAGGGACTGGTCTGTTCGGGTTACGAACACTGATTATTGCAATAGCATATGCTGGTGGTCACACTATTCTCACAAAATTGAATTTAAAAATGAATCTGTATTATTATAAACAATATCTGAAAAGAATACGAGCTGAGTTTCTTGTCAGTTCTCACCTCGAAATCATTCCGAACTGACGGTAGATTTGACATATCATAAGAATCTGTAATAGAGCTACATGAATGAAGATATTTTGAATTTGAATTTAAAAATGAATCTGTATTATTGTAAACATGTACAACATTTATTTGAAAAGAATACGAGCTGAGTTTCTTGTCAGTTCTTCTCATCTCGAAATCATTCCGAACTGACGGTAGATTTGACATATCATAAGAGTCTGTAATAGATCTACTTTAAATAAAGATATTTTGATTTGATTTGATTTGATAAGAAAAAGAAAACCGATAGTCAAATACGACGAGCAAAATTCATAGTGCAACGCCGAGCATCGTCTACCATCGTGCCCGAGAAGCAGAGACACTTCATAACACCAAACAAAACCAGATGCAAAGCATATACTTGCTTTCCACATGAAGACCCTTATAAAAAAACCAAGTACTCATTTTGATACTACTATTATTTATTTATTTATTTAATTCTAATTATTATGTACTGTTTGATCTGAGTGAAATTTATTGTCTTATTTTTTTTCGGACTAATAATACCACTAAATAGATAGTAGCCGATTCTCAGACCTACTAAATGCATATAAAATTTCATGAAAATAGGTCAATTCGTTTCGGAGCAGTATGGTAACTAACATTGTGACACGAGAATTTTATATATAAGACTAGCTAGTCGGCCCGGCTTCGCACGGATGTACATGTATTATATATATAAACCTTCCTTTAGAATCATTCTATCTATTAAAAAAAACCGCTTCAAAATCCGTTGCGTAGTTTTAAAGATTTAAGCATACATAGGGACGGACAGACAGCGACAGCGACTTTGTTTTATACTATGTAATGGTTATCGCTAAAAAATACGTGTTGATTGTAGAAGGGTAAAAAGATAAAATTTCTATGGATTTGTTTAATACCAAGTCATAAAAAAATTACAACATAAAATATTACAAAACTAAATGTTATTTATTCGGTTGCACACAAAACTGTATATATGGCTGATTTCATGCCTAATGGCATTCTCTAACAGTCAACTGTCGGGCTTATCAGAGATAACAAGATTTTCAATGGAATACTTAAGATTTATATCTTAAGTATTCATAAAAAAATTACAACATAAATTTATATATTGATAAACTAAAAATAATTTATTCGAGTTTATACAAAACAATATAGCTGTATAATGGATTCTCTAATAATAATAATAATAATAATAATAACTTTTCATTGGCATATATAAACATATCTTAAGACAGTAAGTACAAATATATTGAAAATAAAAATAAAAAGAGGTCTTATCGCTATCAGCAATCTACAGACAACCCGGTTCCTTAGTGTGCACAAATCCATAAAAAAAGTATAAAATATTTTGGCGCCAAATGGGAAAATACAAAATTTTAAAAGACATAATATTATAGAAATTTAAGAGAGAAATACATAGTTAATTTAAAGTTATATTATATTAATGTAAAAATAGTAATTTGATGTATACATATACAATTGTTAGTTAAAAACATTTATTTAGTATAGTTCATAGTTATTAAAGAAGTTACCCTAATAAAAAAAAAATTGGAATGTAAAAATTTGACGTTCATAAGCGGCTAAAATGTCCTACATGAATAAATGATTTTTGAATTTGAATTTGAATTTGAAACAATATATATTATCAGACACGGCCACGCGTTGCTGTGGCTAAGGTTCTTGAATAAAATAATATTGCGACTATAAATTGATACACTATCTTTTAAGTTGATCAAATTGCACACAATGTGCAAATCCGATTTGCAATCGGTTCAGTTGTTTAGGAGTCCATCGCGGACAAACAACGAGACACGTAATTTTTATATATAAAGATACTAATAGTAAGTATATAAACATACTAATACCCATACAAAATATATCCTTACTAAATATTATAAATGCGAAAGTAAGTCTGTCTCGCTTTATTGCCAAAACTACTGGATAGATTTAAATGAAGTTTGGTACACATATAGTCTACAGGGTCTAGACTATATGTGTACCAAAAGACATACGCTACTGTACAGGACTCCTTACATTTTGGCCGCTGGCTGGTACGACTATTCCCTATTTTTAAATATTTATATTTTATATCGGTTGCTATGGTTTTGTTTTTTATTCCTTTTTATCTATTCCTTGTATTGCTCTTGCTTTCATATAGTTTGTTACGACATATATTTTTATAATATACTATCCTTTTACATATTGCATCTTTAATTACCACCATCGTTGGCTGCACCGACCCCAACGCACTATACACAGTCCCACACAGCTACTTTTACATGCGATAAAAGGGTTATAAGGGGTTGAAAGGGGATAAAAAGGATGAAAATTTATATGGAGGTATCGTCATTTTTAATGCTAGAAGCTTTAAACTTATTTTTTATATCTCTATATTTTGTATGTATTAATAAAAAAAAATATATCTATGTATTTATATCAGTTGTCTAGTACCTATAATACAAGCTCTGTTTACCGTGGGTGTAGATGGCGCTGTGTAACTGTCCAGGTTATTCATTTATTTTATTCTCTTTTTTAGGAAACTGAATCCCTGCCTCAAATCGCCAACCACTTTATACGAGATGGCTGAACAAATCGTCAACAGAATGAGGTTTCCTGATGCCTTATCCTGGAGTGTTGAGGATGTAACCAAATGGATGGTGGACTTAGGGCTTCCTCAGTATCAGGTTTGAGAGACACCCGATATAAATATTCATGACTTCAAAGATATACAGGTAGGTTCAGAGGTCTTCTTTTAAAAGAACTATTAAACAACCCTGAACAATTCCCCCCGTGCCATATATACATAGTACCTATAGGTACTAGAGGTTTTTTATGCCCCTCCGATCGATCCCCCGTCCAATTCAAACGGGGATCGAAATTACGACGGCCTGAGCCGAGGTTTGAACCCCTAGTGGTGCCCTCAGACTAAAGTCGTATCCGTCAGGTAGGCGTTGGCCTTCAGCCGCTCCATAAGTCCTTCCGCGGGTTTGGAGTGCCATCTGCACTCGCCCCATAACGTCCGGTGAAGCTGTAAAGGCCAGCTACGGCCAACAGCATTAGAGTAGTCCGAAAAAAAAAAGGTTTTTTATAAGAGAATGAAAAGATATACAGGTAGGTTCAAATTTTTTTTATAAAAGAACAACCAAAACAAAAAAAGGAAAAAAAAAAACGATTGATTTTCTTGCCACTTCTTCTCAAAGGAATCTGTATACTGAGCTGGATGTTAGCGATAAAATTATAATATAAAAAAATTTACGTCTCGTCTCCTTGGCCTCGGTGGTCTAGCGGTTTAACACACCGACTAACTCCCAATGGTCGCAGGTTCGATTTATCGCACGATACAACCATTGTATTCATGAGAATGATTGTTTGTATCGATCTGGGTGATTTCCATGTATATGTATGTATTTACGAAAAAATATATCTATGTATTTGTATCAGTTGTCTAGTACCGACGACGGAACATGCCAAGTCTCTCGTTACTTTATTTTGCTTGATGATTTTTATTTTTATTCTCTTGTAGCACTTAGGAAGCGACGGACTATTGCACATGTATCTAAGATAACAGCCTTCTATAGTGGAATGTATTAGTAACGGAGTCTCTTATAATTATAATTTTTTTTAGGAATGTATAAAAGAAAACTGTATAAACGGTACCCGACTTTTGATGTTGGAAGACCCTTCGAAGCTACCTGAGATCAATATTCATGACTTCAAAGATATACAGGTACGTTCAGAGGTCTCTTTTAAATGAACGAATATAATTACAACCCTGGACAATTCACCCAGCGCCATCTATCCATAGTACATATAACACAAGTCTAGATGCTTATGCTATGGGTACTAGATAACTGATATAAATATATCGATATAATTTTTTTGTAAATACATTCCAGACGGATACAAACAAATATACTTTCACACAGTCCATCCATCTCTTTTTCGTATAAATTGTAAATGGGATAAGGAAAAAGCAGATGATGATGATTTTTTTGTAAATACGTACATAAGATAGAAAACACTGCTACAAACAAATATATTGGATAAATTGTACCGGCTAAATGCGATTATTGGACCCCCCCGAGGCTGTCAAATATGTCTATGTTTCAATACTTAATTAAAACCCGAAATTTTGTCTATTACCAGAAATAGTCCAAATATTAAAATATATAAGGTCACACTAGGGGAGTCTCATAGATGTGACAAAGACGGGGAAGTATTAAAATATCTGACGACACTAGGGAGATGGGAGTCTTATAGATGTGACAAAACAGGGAGAAGTATTAAAATATGTGACGACACACTAGAGGGCGGATGCTCAGATGTAACAAAGACGGGGGGAAGTATCAAAATATCTGACGACACTAGGGAGAAGGGAGTCTCATAGATGTGACAAAGTCGGGGGTAGGTATTAAAATATGTGACGACACCCTAGGATAGGGGGGAGTGTCATAGCTGTGGCAAAAACAGGGGGAAAGGTAAACGAAATCACGAGGTTCGTAACGAATGTCTCCCTATATCCCATACAGTTGATATCAAACAGCGTGCGACAGCTATTTCGGACAGAGTTCATAAGATTTACAAGAAGCATAGCCCTGCCAACAAGGAAACCGTTAACGCTTTGCACTTGGTTCAAATCCCGGACGGGACCAAATTGGGGTATTAGGAAGAATTGGAATCGGCAAGTATAAGTAGCTTCTTTTATAATTGGTATAGCAAACCAGCTGAGAGACCCACCTGATGGTAAGTGGTATATAACCGTCGCCTATATCATGAATTTATTTATTTAATTAATACTATATAAACTTACAGTTAATTGCCAACACGTTTATATTTTAAAACTATTTATAATACTTGAACTATACAATGATAAAAATATTCTTATTTTATTAATTATGGAAAGCAAGGCTTCAGTATATACGTCAGCATCTTGGACCTTACCTAAAAATAAATTTAATAATTGCAATGCTCTCATAGTGGGAGAATTGCTAGCGTGGCTTGTGCGTACCGACGAGGTTGCACATGCATCACATTATCCCGTGAAATTCGTAATACATATGTGTTATAAATTAAATTTTCTCTGCAGATGCGACCTTTTAAGGGGAATGGAGATCATAATGGGTTCACCAGTGTACAGAGACCATTGGGATTTGGTATGGTACGTTGTTATTTTAACTAGCTACTACCTTGGTGGTCTAGCGGTGCATGATTTGACTTGTGATAATCGTGGATTAATTCCGCGCTCCTAGCGGTGCATGGTTTGACTTGTGATGATCGTGGATTAATTCCGCGCTCCTAGCGGTGCATTGCGTTTGATTTGTGATGATCGTGGATTAATTCCGCGCTCCTAGCGGTGCATGGTTTGACTTGTGATGATCGTGGATTAATTCCGCGCTCCTAGCGGTGCATGGTTTGACTTGTGATGATCGTGGATTAATTCCGCGCTCCTAGCGGTGCATAGCGTTTGACTTGTGATCGTGGATTAATTCCGCGCTCCTAGCGGTGCATGGTTTGACTTGTGATGATCGTGGATTATTTCCGCGCTCCTAGCGGTGCATGGTTTGACTTGGCATGATCGTGGATTAATTCCGCGCTCCTAGCGGGGAATAGCGTTTGACTTGTGATGATCGTGGATTAATTCCGCGCTCCTAGCGGTGCATGGTTTGACTTGTGATGATCGTGGATTAATTCCGCGCTCCTAGCGGGGAATAGCGTTTGACTTGTGATGATCGTGGATTAATTCCGCGCTCCTAGCGGTGCATAGCGTTTGACTTCTGATGATCGTGGATTAATTCCGCGCTCGGTACAAACATATTCATGAGTGTGATTGTTTGTATCGGTGTGTGGGTGGTTTCTATGTATATTATATAGATAGATAGATAGATAGATAAAAAGTTTTATTATATGATTGTTAAATTAGGAAGTTCATTTATTATTAATTGAAACACCGGTTTATATTTGACGTATCTGTATTAAGCCACTACAGAAATCATAAATACGCTTTCCATTACTTGACACTAGAGCGCAAACTATGCTGTTATATTGTTGTAACTAATTTAGACATAAAATTATGTATGTATTTACAAAAAATATATCTAAGTATTTATATCAGTTGTATACCCATAATACAAGCTCTGCTTAGCTTGGAACTAGATGGCGTTGTGATAATTATCCAGGGTTCTTTATTATATAATATATATATAAATTGAGCTAAATATAATGATAAATGTCAAGTAAGCGTAATGCAGACAAAGTTGCGAGGGTCAGCTAGTCTACTACAATCCATAATACAGAAATGCCACTCCATAAGAAATAAGTTGTAAATGTCAGTCTGTACATTACTATCGAGCGATTAAACGAGCCGTGAATATTTGAAATGTAATACTAGCAACGTTCCTCGGCTTTGTTTATATTTCTCTGAATGTTTTCTACGCATATTATCTATGCATTTACAAAAAAAATATATATTTAAGTATATCAATTGTCCAGTACATACGTTGAAGACCGTGAAAAATCTTATTTCTTATATAGGGACCGGCATTTTTTTTCTTGTTAATTACGTATATTAGTTTTTAGTGTACAATAATTTAAGGTAGACATTATAAGACCCCTAGATTTATTTCAATTAAAGTGCTCACGGGTGATCACCCGGTCCCAACGTGTAAATTTACTTTCGTAAAGTGACCCACGGGTGATCACCCGGTCCCAACGTGTAAATTTACTTTCGTAAAGTGACCCACCGCTGATCATCCGGTCCCAACGTGTAAATTTACTTTCGTTGCAGAGTTGACCCACCGGTGGGCATGCGCTCTTTAACGTGTTAAGTATATCAGTTGTCCAGTACCCATAATATCTCTACCTCTTCTTAGCTTGGGAAAATCACGCCGTTTGAATTTTACTGTCTTATTATTATGACTTTCTACTACTTAATATTTTTTAGGTATCAGAAACCAGATTTCCCTAAAGTGATGTTCGCTAGAGTGCCCAAGCCTGAATCTCAAGTTCATATACCACATTATAAACCAATAAAAGAAGTCTGCAATGAGTTCATGGTAATATTTCAATATCTGTCTTTACATGACGTGTTAGCGTGGTAAAGACACCGCGCGCATTTTAGAGCGTTAAATACAGCGCGCGCATTTTAGAGCGTTAAATACAGCGCGCGCAATTTAGAGCGTTAAATACAGCGCGCGCATTTTAGAGCGTTAAATACAGCGCGCGCATTTTAGCGCGTTAAAGACAACGAGCTCGTTTTAGAGCGCAATACAGCGCGCGCATTTTAGCGCGTTAAATACAGCGCGCGCATTTTAGCGCGTTAAAGAGAACGTGCGCATTTTAGCGCGTTAAAGACAACGAGCTCGTTTTAGAGCGTTAAATACAGCGCGCGCATTTTAGCGCGTTAAAGAGAACGTGCGCATTTTAGCGCGTTAAAGACAACGAGCTCGTTTTAGAGCGTTAAATACAGCGCGCGCATTTTAGCGCGTTAAAGACGACGAGCTTCTTTTTGGCGTTAAATACAGCGCGCGCATTTTATTAAAGACAACGAAGAGCGTTAAATACAGCGCGCGCATTTTAGCGCGTTAAAGAGATCGTGCGCATTTTAGCGCGTTAAATACAACGCGCTCGTTTTAGAGCGTTAAATACAGCGCGCGCATTTTAGCGCGTTAAAGACGACGCGCGCATTTTAGAGCGTTAAATACAGCGCGCGCATTTTAGCGCGTTAAATACAGCGCGCGCATTTTAGCGCGTTAAATACAGCGCGCGCATTTTAGCGCGTTAAAGAGAACGTGCGCATTTTAGCGCGTTAAAGACAACGAGCTCGTTTTAGAGCGTTAAATACAGCGCGCGCATTTTAGCGCGTTAAAGACGACGCGCGCATTTTAGAGCGTTAAATACAGCGCGCGCATTTTAGAGCGTTAAATACAGCGCGCGCAATTTAGAGCGTTAAATACAGCGCGCGCATTTTAGAGCGTTAAATACAGCGCGCGCATTTTAGAGCGTTAAATACAGCGCGCGCATTTTAGCGCGTTAAATACAGCGCGCGCATTTTAGCGCGTTAAAGACGACGAGCTTCTTTTTGGCGCGGTGAAGACAGCGCGCGTTTTAACGCGATGAAGACAGCGCTCACACTTTACTGTTTTTTTTAATTTGTTTTTTTCTCTTACATAATATTATTTTTTATTTGGTAAATATCTGTTTTATATTTTCTTAAATTGCGTCCGTACTGTGGGTCTAACTGAAACTGAAACGCTGGGAACTATGTTTCCAGCATTAGTCCTTAGTCCTAGTCCTTACTAATCCCTTCTACCCATCCTACCATATTTTTATATACAATACTCATATTTAAATCGTGCGAGAAATCGAACCCGCTACCATTAGAAGTAAGGCAGTGTGCTACGCAGCTAGACCAACAAGACCACCTTAATGAATTATATTTTCAGGTACCCCGTAAATTTCGCATCCAAACCGGTATTCCTGAAGAGGATCAGATGATTTGGATGGAACACCGTCCTGGTTCACTAGACTTTAGAAGAGAGAAGCACGGAGAAGGGAAGAAAAAGGAAAAGAAGATGTTGACGATTCCGAAAGAGTGCAGACTGATGCCAAAGAAAGTGTCATTGACAGGGCTGACGGGGAAGAACTTGATCTTAGCGAGGAGGAAGATGGCTATACCTAAGTTCTTGCCTTAATTTTGTATACCGTTGAGAAAATATTACTTCATTTCAAATTCTTATCTTATGTCAAATCTACCGTCAGTTCAGAATGATTGCGAGATGAAAAGAACTGACAAGAAACTCAGCTCGTATTCTTTTCAAATAAATGTTGTACAAGTTTACAATAAAACAGATTCATTTAAATTCAAATTTGGGAGAATAGAGTGACCACCAGCATATGCTATTGCAAAAGCAAAAAGTCTAATCAGTATTCGTAACCTGAATAGATCATTATAAATTGGAACAGAATATATAAGTTTTAGAAAAAAAAAAGTTATTCAGTTACAAAGAAACAGATTTTTCAGCACCGTATCGCACATTTCAACGATATAGTCCCAAGAACTTTACACTTCAACAATATAGTCCCAAGAACTTCACCGGCAAATGCAAAATTTATGAAAGAAAATTTACTCACCTGCACAGCTATGATGATGGTGTCATTCTGGACAGGTCCGAATATGTCCTCATTATGTATGATCTGTGCGTCATTATATTTCTCTATTGCTTTGCGTATATCTGTTACATTTTTCGGTCCAACCTTCTCAGTTGAGTTTGCTGGAATAAAAAAAATATATTCTTTATCTAATACATGTGCAAGATGCATAATGAATGGAGGTCTTCCACAGTGCGTATCAAAAAGTTTCTATAACACAGCACGATGAAGGACCGCATTCTACATGTATGAATAGCAGTCCTTCATCGTGCTGTTTTCGGGATTTCATCGGGATGGTATTTTAGTTTTTGGCGGGTGGTACGATAAAATATTGCAATTAAAATATATCTACACCTATACTTAGTCTAACTTTAAAGATGTTTGTTTGTTTGTAACAGACTTTAAAGCTAAGATTATAGAGTGGATTTTACATAGTCTGTAATTTTTGAAGTATTGCATCCTCTATAGCGTATACAACAAAAGAATCATCATCTTGATCATCAACCTGGATATTATCATCACGACCTATATACTACTTTGCGTGAAAGAGTAAGAAACATCCATCTCTCCTTTTTTCGTTCTGCTATAATGCTGTTGGCCGCAGCTGGCATTTTTAAATTAGTATTTTTTTTAGTTTATTTATTTTTTATAGGAAAGTCAAAGAGTCTAAGTCCATACAGCGGATTTTTTCGGACTACTCTAATGCTGTTGGCCGTAGCTGGCCTTTACAGCTTCACCTAACGATAAAGACCGAGTGCAGATGGCACTCCAAACCAAAGGAAGGACTTATGGAGGGGATGAAGGTCAACTCTCTCCTGAAGGATACGAGATTACGATTTCGAACCTCGGCTTAGGCTGCCGTAATTTCGATGAGAGTGTCCAGTGCGAATATGTGAATTGTACTAACCGCTAATATTTTTGGGGTGCACTGTTAGGTACTTGTGAAGTTCGGGAGGCACCAGAGCAAGCACCTGTTCTGAAGTTTCATTCGCGTTCATCAGCTCTTCTGAAAGAAAAGAATCAATCAAACAGTAGCCAGTAATAATGACAAAGTTCGGAAATGGATTACGAAGTAAATTCCATTTTTTTTTTATTGTATGATAATGAAATGACTCTAATAAATTAGTATTGGTTTGTATTCACTTTTATACACATATAAATTTAAAAATTTAAAGTTACAATGATTATTTAAAAGAGCAACACACAAGTTTCTTGCACATTCTTCTTGTGATGAGACAGCTTTCCGAATGAGTCTTTTTTATCATTTTTTCTGTCTATCTGTCTGTTTGGCTGGACTGAAACTGAAATCTCTGAAATGGCTGGACCGATTTTGATGGAATTTTTTTTGCAAGTAGCTGATCTAAAAGGAGTAACTGAGGTTACTTTTATTTTAGAAAAATAAAGTTAAATTCCAAGCGAACGAAGTCGCTGGTGTAGCAAGTTATATATAAATATCATCAGCCCACTACAGTCCACTGCTGGACATAGGCCTTTCCCAAGGCACGACACTGAGTACCATCTTCAACCTTTCTCTTCCAGTGGAAGTTTTCTACGTTACTCATACAGTTTTTTTCGTTAACTGTATTGCATTTTATTTTATCTGTTTATTTGTTGTGTAATGTATGTTGTTTGACTTGACTAATGTATCTGTTTTTATTTTTGTTCTTAATATTACAGTGCCTTGTGTGTATGTGTCTTTAACGTGAATAAATTTTTATCTATCTACCCACCTATCAGTGGGTTTTGGGCCTTCCGCATATGGACATCGTTAGTGTACTTATTAGGAATTTAGTCATCATCATTCATCATCATTGCCTTGCCTTTATCCCATTATTTGTGGTCGGCGCCGTATGTCATTCTCTTCCACTGCTCTCTATCGGTCGTCATATCTGAACATACTCTCCTTTTATTCATATCATCTTTCACACAATCCAACCATCTTTTCTTAGGGCGTCCCCTCCCTTTACATCCATCCACATTCATATTAATTAGTATAAATAAAAAAAAACATACCAGCTTCCCTATAAATCCCGCCATTGCTCGCAGAGAGCATAATCTGTATCCATAGACAAAATAGTCCGAGTATGACCAAAACTCGAACCACAGACGCATATTTTAGCCGTGGCATTGCGTCTCACGCGGTAGATGGTGCTGAATGCATTTTTAATACCGGTCCATTGAAGACAACGTTAGAAGCATTTTAATACTGTATTCTGATAACAGATGGCGTGTTTTGGTAAATACTAATTTCATATCTTGATATTCGAGGTAGGTAGTGTGGTTTCATTAATACTGTCTTCAAACTACAATACAGTTGTATTTCGTTTCCAAAACTCTACGATAGATGGCGTTGTTTTAATTTACAAATTCTCACGGTAGATGGCGCTGCTTCATTGCTTGGTTTTTGGGTCAAGGATTCAGTTTTGTTCAATTGATTTCCTGAAACAATAATAAAAAATAATTAGCAATGTGGTAGAGAGCTTGTGTTATGGGTACTAGACAACTGATATAAATACAGTATTTTTTTGTAATTACATACTTAATAATAAAAATAATAATAGTTTATGCTACAAAGCGTAAAAACTAGCAAAAGGTGAGAGAATGAGACAAAAGTGAAAATAAAAATAATAATAATAATCTCAGGACAATTCACACAGCGCCATCTAGACCCAAGTTAAGCTAGCTAAAGCTTGCATTATGGGCACTGGATAGCTGATACAAATACATGGATATATTTTTTTTGTAAATACTAAAATAATATAGATAGAAAACACCCAGACTGATACAAACAAGCATACTCATGTTGTGCCCCGGTTTCACCCGCGTTAAATTAAAAAAAAAATTGAAATTCTGATGCATAAGCTATATTACTGTAAAGTTTGATCTGTTCAGTAGTTTTTGCGTGAAAGAGTAACAAACATCCATACTCACAAACTTTCGCATTTATAATATTACTAGACCAAGAACACATGCTACCTCCAAGAACATGTGTACAAAATTTCATGATGATCGGTTCAGTACTTTTTGCGTGAAAGCGTAAAAATTAAGATACATAAAAAAATACGCGAACGATGTATGTATATGCAAAACATTTTTTTTTTCGGACTACTCTAATGCTGTTGGTCGCAACTGGCCTTTACAGCTTCACCGGACGTTAGGGGGCGAGTGCAGATGGCACTCCAAACCAAAGGACTTATGGAGCGGCTGAAGGACCATTCCTGCCTGACGGATATGACTTTAGTCTGAGGACACCACTTATTCGAACCTCGGCTCAGGCCGTCGTAATTTCGATCCCCGTTTGAATTGGACGGGGGGTCGATCGGAGGGGCGCCCGGTTGTATGCGCGATATTGTGTGTTTGAGGTCGTCGTCTTCGCCGGCGAGGACGGTGTCGTGTGTGTGTGTAAAAGTGTGGTCGGGGTGGATCATATGCAAAACAACTGGAGTCGAGTCCTGTTCTACATCGTTCTGGAATAGCGTTGGAATCAACTAAATCGCATCACATATTTTTCACGAAGGATAAAGGGCCTCGTAAGTACCTCGTAAGGCCACTAACTATATACGTACGTATGTACTATTGTATATTTGTTTGTCACACTGTTGCAATTAGATCGGCTCGAGGAATCTCCGCTGTGAAGGTCTTTGACGTTTGGTCCAATTTGTGAGCGATTCGTCTAAATCTTAATAATTATCATTATATAGTATAAATAAATAAAAAATAGTGTGAATTGTCCTGAAATAATTATATTATTATTATAGTATATTATATTATTATTATAAAACATAGTCGCTGTCGCTGTCTGTCCGTCCCTATATATGCTTAAATCTTTAAAACTACGAAACGGATTCTTTTAATAGATAGAGTGATTCAAGAGGACGGTTTATGTATAATACATGTACACCCGGGCGAAGCCGGGGCGAGTAGCTGGTAATATTATAAACGCGAAAGTTTGTGAGTATGGACGTTTGTTACTATTTCACGCAAAAACTACTGAACGGATTTTAATGAAACTTTACAGTAATATAGCTTATGCATCAGAATAACATATAGGCTATATTTTACATTAAAATTGAACGCGGATAAAAGCGGGTAAGAAATCACTAAATGGTAAACGAAAAATCTACTGAATGCCGACCCTTAAGAAATCTTAATATACCCTTCTTGAAAAACCCCATGCTGTAGTCTCGTTAGTTACCCTTTGATGGGGTGATAGATCATATATTATTGATACCCCTGGTGCTTTAGGCTAGGCTACGGTAACCATTTACCATCAGATGGGCCGTGTTCTTATTTGCCGCCATAGTAGTATAAAAAAAAAATATTATTATTTAATAATAATAATATTTTTTAATAAGCTAATCGCTACCGCTCGTGACCTGTGACACGCCCAAACATTCTAGCATCCATTGTTAACAGTCCGGGCCGCGTCTAAATGAAACATTATCTAATGATAATTGTTATGTAAATTTTTCATGGACGATTCACTTTTATTGAAACAATTGGGTATTCAAAATGGCGACGGTAATTCCATGCGTACTGCAATTAGTCGGTATTTAAACGACTACAAAAACATGAACCGTCTTCATTATTTTCCATTTTTTTAATCAACTTCACATAAGGATAAGGGTCCATTCGAGTATTATGTGAGCTGAGTTATTACAATTATTTATCCCCCCCCCCCCCCCATCACCAGATAGCAAAAGTGAGCAAAACTCACCCCACATGATTACGTAAACATTTTTCAGTCAAAGACAATGTGAGCATTGCCATTTGTGTAAAAAAGTAAATAACTGACGATGACGTAATCATTATTTACACCCCCCCCCCATGTCATCCAAAACAAAGTAAAGAAATTCAATTAATTAGAGTAGAAATATTCTTTATTCAAATAAACTTATACACTTATAGACGAACGAGCAAGAAACTTGCGTGTTGCTCTTTTAAATGTATGTTTTATGAACACATCAAAACAATTAGGTTAATTTCTTGCGTCCTCTGTATTTATAACTGGCTATTTTAACCAACATTAAAAAAGGATGTATACAATTCCCTTATGTTTTTTTTTATCTATACATAGGTATAAATAAAATTGGAGTGTCTGTAATATTGAAATAATCGTTTTTTACTACATGCATATGAATATAAATACGTATAGTACATATATTAAAATAACATTTTTTACAATTCTTGTCTGTCTGTCTATTTGTTCCGGCTAATCTCGGACTGATGGGCTGATTTTAACGGGACTTAAGGCTACTTTTATTTTAGAAAAATAAAGTTAAGTACCCATAACACAAGCTTTGCTCAGCTTGGGACTAGATGGCGCTGTGTGAATGTTATTATTATTAATGATTATTTGTCAAGTTGTTAACCATGGAAGTCATTTGTATGGTGACAAATGACTGTAATGACTTCCAATTATGTATAAATCACTTCCTGTTGCCACAGATTATTTGAAACTTATATCAATTTATGGCAATTAGATTCATCATCATTTTTTTTTATGTAATTGGAGTGGCAATCTGCCGGCCCGCCTGATGGTGAGCGGTAACCGTTGTAGGGACTGGTCTGCTGTAATCACTAGATTTAATCGTATATTTGATCATGGGGGAAAGGGTTAGTAATGTGGACTGATAGTCTCTTTGCTAATATATGGTACATCGCTTAGCCAGGTTGATATCCACGCGGTTCCCCCAAAAAAAAGTCCATCGTGATAAATTCATAGAGAATTTATCATTATAGTTTCAAACAGAGACAGACAATTGAGGTCAATCTGACATGATATTTGTTAGACCTACAATGAGAGTCACTGGCAGATTTTATATTCTTTTTATCCATATTCAAAATATGATGTTCTTTAAATAATTTTTATTTTATTATACTTCTGTCACTGCGCTCTGCAATAAAAGACGGCTGTTCAAACATCTACCTATTTTCATTAATTTTTACTATATTGATTAGCAATGTACCAGGATTACATCCTCGTGGTTCCCCTGGAAACCATCATGATAAGTTTCTGGGGAAATGGTCACGATGTGCTAACTGACCTGACCTCATGTTCATCCTATCATCCTCCACTGGTGCCCCACCAGCGTACATCGTTAGCGCAGGCGGGAGCACCATTACATTATCATGCATTTAAAAATATACCTCTGTACAAGGATGTAACAATAAAAAATCGAACTTCGTTATTAATTGTTATCTTTGTATTCACAGGATATCCTATAGATATTGATGTTATATTTCAATGCACCTTCATATAACTTCAATTGATTATTTTAATTATTTTTCCCTTTAAACTTTTTAAATTTACACAGTAGTATTATATATATAAGTTTAAAAGTATTTAGATAATGATTAAGACGGCGTGGTTAATTTAATTCCTACTTAAAAACTTATTTAAATTTCGAATAAAATGAAGACATCAAAACTTTTTCGTTTTCTTTCTTATAAACGACTAGCTTTTTCCCGTGGCTTCGCTCGCGTTAATTTATATCCTTAGGTGTGGAATTTATCAAAATCCTTTCTTAGGGGATGCCTACGTCATAGTAGATTTTGCATGGAAAGTCTCAGTCCGATCGGTTTAAAATTGACAAAGTTTCATACAAACTTTCATCCCCTATTTTATTCCCTTGGGGGTAGAATTAATTAAAATCCTTTCTTAGCGGATGCCTACGTCATAACATCTACCTGCATGCCAAATTTCAGCCCGTCAGTGGTTTTGGGCTGTGCGTTGATAGATCACTATGTCAGTCACCTTTGAGTTATATATATATTTAAATATGAAAAAAAGTTTAGATTTAGTTTTTATCCATCGTCCAACATTAGAATGTCGAACGAATGAAGCGTTTAAATCTTTTTTTTGTAGCGTTGTCTATGATGCGTGGAGATGACCTCCAATCATTTAAATATACTTGTTATTTGAGATTGAGGTTAGCAGATTTATTTGTAAGATGTGATAATTAGTATTCATTAGTTGTATATTACATACTAAATAGATTTTCCGTGAACTATCATATGTATATTTAGACATATGTAATATTTTTTTTATCTATACATCAATACATATAAATAAAATTGGAGTGTCTGTTTGTAATATCGAAATAACAATTTTTTACTACATGCATATGAATATAAATACGGTATATACAGAAAAAAATATTTTTTACAATTTTTGTCTGTCTGTCTGTTTGTTCCGACTAATCTCTGCAATGGCTGTGCCGATTTTAACGGGACTTTTATTGGCAGATAGCTAATGTAATAAGTAGTAAGTTAGGTTATTTTCATTTTAGAAAAATAAAGTTAAATTCCACGCGGACGAAGTCGCGGAGTCAGCTAGTATTATGTGTAATTAGTGGCTAAAGTGTTTGGAACACTGTAATAATGTAAACACACTACTATTTTATGATAAAATCGCATCAAAACCTGTATTTGATTTA